TGCCGTGTTGCTGCTGGCCCTGCTGCTGGGGGAGGTTCCCTGGCTGGACCTCCCACCACTTGCAACCCCTCTGCAGCCGGGGGTTGCTCGCCTGGGGCTGGGACTCCCTGGACATCTGGCCCAGCAGATGCTGAGGATTCCCCTGCTGGGGAAGGTGCTCCTCAGTTACAGGTTCCCCAGCTAGGTTGGGGACCCCAACTGCTGTCTGGTCCAGTCTGAGCTCCCCAACCCTCATGTTATCTCCCTCTGCTGCCCGTGGTGCTCTTTGGTGAAGCAACATCTGTGGTCCTGCCAGATCACAGATGTTGCCTGACCAGAGAGTGCATGATTTGGAAGATTCAACCTGTAGTTTTACTAAGGTATTTTACAAGAGATGCATCTGTTGTTTTAAGTGGAAACCTTTATTTAATAAGATATATGAACCCTTAGAGTTTCTGAACTATGTAATTGAATTTCTTTTTGAATGACGTAGTTATTGTATTATACATCCCCAAAGTTTTATCTCAGTCCAAGAAAATAAAATAAAAAGTTAATCAGCACCATGTTACAATTAATGTTGAAGATAAGCTCTTGGCAATTCTTCCATGAAAATTTAGGTATAGCTATCGGCTCATAAAACAAAATAATACAATTAAATTAAGAAAAAATGAGAGGGGACAAAGAATAATGAAAACCATGAGCCTACAGAGAAGGAAATTACTGAGATAATTATCACCTCCTTTACCTGAAAATTAGATTTACACCCTAATACTAAAGTGCAAATTAATCAGGCCAGTTCCTCTAACAGAGAATAGAAGGAAGTACCTGACAGATGTGCCAAACCCTATTTGAGTCTATAAGTAGGATAAGTTTTATAAATATCGAAGCTGTCAGGCACATTCAAAACAAATTGCTACAGCTATGTCTACACTACAGAGCTTATAGCTGTACCACTGCAACTGTGAGTTCTCCTGCAACCATTCTATGCTGGCAAGACTATTTTCCTTCTAGCATAATTAAATCACCCTCAACAAGCGGCGGTAGCTTTATCTTTGGATGATGTGCTCCCACCAACATAGTGTTGTCCACACCAGCGCTTTTGCCAATTAAATTTATGTCAGTCAGGGACAATTATTTTTCATAACTGTGACCAACAAAAATTTTGCCAATAAAATTGGCAGTGTAGATGCCAGTGTGGCATGGGCTACAACTGCCTGGGCTCCCCAGCTGCTGACCTGGTCGGGGAGCTGGGTGGCTTGTAAAGAAGAAGAGGGGAAGGGATAATAATAGAGATGTAGCCGTGTTAGTCTGGAACAAAAGACAGGACTATGCAGCACTTTAAAGACTAACAATCAAAAAAAGTGAACACATATAAAATTGACAAATTGACCCCGTTGCCAGCTTTGTCCACATATTTACTCTGCTGATACCATCATTGGACCTAACCATTTCAGTTACAAGATCAAGAACACATATTCCTGCTCATCCAGAAATATAATTTATGCCATCATGTGCCAACAGTGTCCATCTGCTATGTATATTGGACAAACTTCTCAGACACTTTGTCAAAGAATCAACGCATACAAAACAGACATCAGACAGTTTCAAAAAGAAAAAACAGTTTCTTGCCATTTCAACCAGACTGGGCATTGTGTCTTAACGACCTCACTACATGCATCCTGCTTCAAAGAGACTAACACAAGACTACAGAGGGAAGCCTCTGAACTGTCATTCATGCTTAAATTTGACTCTTTAAGAATGGACCTCAACAAAGATGCTAATTATCTTACCCATTACAAAGATAGCTTCCCCAATTATCACCCCTAATATCATTATCTCATAGACACAAACCTCCCCCCCCCCCAATTCCCCCTCTGTTCTAAAATCTGATTTGTCAATTTTATATGTGTTCACTTTTTTTTTTTTATTGTATCCCTTTGGTATATATGGTCATGCCAATTTTCTTCCACAATTTGATCTGAGGAAGTAGGTCTGGCCCACGAAAGCTCATCATCTAATAAACCATCTTGTTAGTATTTAAAGTGCTGCATAGTCCTGTCTTTTGTTTTAGGGGAAGGGATGGGTGTGATAGGTTGAATCATAGAAATCCTTTGGGTTTGCCCCGTCGTGTGCTGATCATGCCACTGATGCCCACCTTCCTTCCCTCTCAGGCTCCCCACCACTCTGTCCTGCTGGACCAGAAGCTCTGATTTCCCTCAGAGAAGGCTCAGAGTTGGGGTTCCACATCCCTTCCCTCGCAACACCGATGCTGGACCAGTACAGCCCCAGGAGGGCTAAGCTGTAAGGGGTCAGCACATAGAAAATGATTCCCCCAAGAAAGAACCAAACCCCAAATAAATCTGTTTTACTCTATGTAAAAGCTCATAAGTTCCACCCACTTTATCAATGAAAGAGAGACATGCACAGTGGTTGCTCCCTACAAGCTAACAATTATTTACACTGTCCTTGATAATTAACAACAGTGTTTTTATTAAGCATAAAATGTAGGATTTAAGTGGTTGCAAGTGATTAAAACAGTCAGAGCAAAGTAAATTATTAAATTAAAAAGAACAAAAAAATACTTAGCTATTTCTAATCCACTAAGAAACTAGTTACATACAAATTCTTACCCTAAACAACTGTTCTTATTTGAGGTAAAAACCTTCAAGTCAGAGTTGATCTTTACTCTGGCCCAGGTCTACTGCTTCTTCAAAGTTCTTTGTATCCTCTTAGGGAGGGCCAAGCAGTTTCAAAGACCAGCTAAAGACAGAGCACTAATACCTTCCCATTGCTTAAATAGATTTCCCCCCAAGGCAGGAAGCCTTTGTTCAGCACCCTCTATCTCTAGGGAAAAATACAAGGTTCAAGATGGATTCCAGTTCAGGGGGCATGGTCACATGTCTTTCTCGGAGTAATCACGGTTGGGACTTACAGGACAAACATGATCATTCATAGGTTATGGGTTTGAGTACCAAGTCATTAAAATACGCATCAGTAATGGCCCTCACTAGCACATTTAGAACTATAAAGAGATCCACACTTCATACTTTTAACTTCACACACAGGAATAATACATGCACAAAAATAGGATATGCAGATTCATCAGATTGTAAAACTTACATGAATGGTTTTGCATAAATCATCTTTGAGATACGCATATTCATATCCATATACCAATTTTCATAAAGCATGGGGGGCCCACGACAGTGGGGTGCAATGGGAAAAGTGGAAGGATGACATTCCCCCTGGCGCTCCCTGTTTTGATACCTCTGTGTGATAACTTTGTTCATATTCAACTTACATCCTTCTGCTTCCCTAGATTTCACAATCAGCATGACAATATCACTTCCTATTACATGAGGAAGGTTACAGTGACCTCAGGAATGAAGACCTGGTACCAGACTAATCAGATTTCCTCAGTTTTTTTAAAAAATAGCATTTTAAGAACTATTTTATAAAGCATTTGATTTCCACTATATGTTTTAACTAAGTAAAATATTAGGGTTGTTCCACAGCCAAATCAGATACATCAATATTTCTCCTAGAGCAGTATTTCCCAAATGGTGCTCTGCGGAAGCCCAGGTTTCCATGAAGCAAAAGTAAGGGTTCCGCGAGAACTCGATTGCTTCCACACCTCCCTCCCACCAAAAAAAGAGACAGAGAGAAACCAGTGCACAAATACACAGGGTCTTTCTCTGGTTTCCAGCCGGCTTTCAGACACCTCCCTTCCTCCGCTGCCACTCTGCGTTTCCAAAGCTCACAAGTCTCCCTAGTCCACTTCCGGTATTTTTTTTTGGCTAGACAAATTTTCCTGGTGGTGTTTTTGTTTTTTGTTTTTTTGTTTTTGGCTCAAAAATCTTCTGAGTTTAAAAAGGTTCTGTGCCAAATAAAATTGGGAAACAGTGTCCTAGAGCAATATTTGCATGGCAGAGTAAAAGTCTTACACCTCTTCTACAGTGGTTGACACTAAACAGTATGATGTATCCTCATCACAAAACTTCATGTAGGAATAGGGAAGCAGTCCTTGCGATAAGGTCTGTGTCACACTGAGATACAGGAGTAAGTTACTGTGTCTACACAGTAACTTAGCATGCACAAGTTAGGGTGTACAGTCTTGAATGCATCTGCATGTCTCTCACTAATTGCCTGCATGGATCTGCATGGACTGACTTAGAACTGTATGAAACAGGACAATACCAGTGCATAATAGGCTACCTTTGGTGTGCACCAGTAGTGTTGACATAGTGAGTGACAAGTTAATTCACACTAGAATTTACATCCTACCTAGTGCAGACCAATGCACAGTGTAGACAAGCTCACAAAAACAACTTCAAAACCTTTCAAATTGATTTTTTAAATTAATTATTACTAATGAATTCTCTAAGCATTCCCTATGCTAAATCAGAGGGAGTACTGCAATAATATTACCCAGTTTTCAAAGGTGACCACAATAAATATTTACACTTTTTAAGAGTCAAACACTATATTTGAACCATTCTATGAATATCTAGTGGGGGAGGAGGACAGCTCAGGGGTTTGAGCATTGGCCTGCTAAACCCAGCATTGTGAGTTCAATCCTTGAGGGGGCCATTTAGGGACCCCAGGCAAATCTGTCAGGGATGGTAACTGGTCCTGCCATGAGAGCAGGGGACTGGCCTCAATGACCTCTCAAGGTCCCTCTTCCAGTTCTATAAGATAGGTATATCTCCATATGACATGTCTTGCTACTCCATATGGGAGAACAATGAGCCTTCCTGATTCTGCTTTGGATTTATCCTGAGAGAACTAGCAAAATAATATTTAGGTATAACATCTTTCTAAATTGTATGAAGAATCTTCATAATTTGCTTCCAATCACTAAGTTCATTTTTAGTATTTAAAAATATTAACTTTTTTTTGTCAGAACTTAACTTTGCTTAAATATTTTACAGTAGCCAATATTAATGCAAAATGCTCGTGGCACCATTTCAATAAAACTTGAATCTAAACAGAAACAGTAAGTACAGTTGCTTTTTGCTTACCTCCTCAGCTTTTTGAGCTTCTATATATCTATCCAAGTAGATTCCCTGGAGTACAGAACCCACAATAGTCAATCCTTTACCAGCCTTCAACTGAGAGGTTAAAGAAAGCAATCTAGGGTGTTTAACTGTCTGTTCAGAGTCCAAATTCAACAAAACCAAGACTTGAGGTCTGCAGTATTTAAAAAAAAAAAAGGGTGTCAGAAAGACAACTGTAAAATTAAAATTATAAGAGAATAATTAAATAACCAGATGATCTAGTAGTTCAATTGTAAACCCGATCAACTATCAAACAAGGAAGTTCAATTTTTAGCATTTGTCACTTTATTAGAGAACTGATAAAGTATCTTTAGAAATATATAGCATCATATGCTAACTTTCTGTTTTGACTTGACCCTGAAAAATGGCATATTGTTAGTTATTCAGCAATCTTCTTTCTGGATCAAATCTGCTTACTTTGCTGACAAAATTATTTTTCCAACTGTGGATTTTTGTTAGTGCTACGAAGACAAAATAACTATTAGAGAGTACTTTCTTCTTCAATATCAGCCTAACTGCTAATTAAATTTAAATGGAAATAACAAATTCTACCTTCCATTACCCCAGTACAACAAAAGAACACATCAGGACTATACACACTCCACTGAAAGTCTGCTGATTTCAGTTGGCGCTAATTTGTCCTGATGTATTGAGATCAGAACCTATTCCACTGTGTTCAATGGGGTTGTACAGATGTATCAGAAGATAGAATTTGACTTTCAGAATCTTTATTAAAAGTGACAGTGCATAAACAAGAAAGACCACAGCTTGCCCTTCAGATCCCATGCTAACTTTCTGAACTTTACCCTGTAAATTCAACAAATGTTATATGAAAATAATGAGGGTAAATAGTGAATGCCACAATGTCACTTTCACAAAGCCACTTTTCAAAGTAAAACGGCATTTAAACAACATTACATCTAAAGCAATCTATCAAAACATCATTATTAAATCTAAAATAACTCCAGTTATGGTAGTATATTAGCAGTAAATAGTTTGAAAAGCTCCAGTACAAGAAAGTTTGAAGAAACATCCTCTAAATTTGTATTTAATATGTTTTGTGATCTCAACTGAACAAAACTATTTGGACAGTACACAAAATTGCTTCTTTTCCCACTGACTAAAAAGCACATATATGAATGTGTATATTTATGCATGCCTTTTTTTGGATCTCAGAACAACAATAAAAATAAATTTGACAGCACTTTCCAAGACATGCAGTGCCATGACAAATATCCTGCCTGCAGAATTATGGCTTAGTTATTATAAACAAACTAGAACTTACTTCCTATTTTTAAAAAAAGTATCTCATGATTACATGGGTCTATTTGTAATTCATACATTTTAAGGTCAACAGGGACCATTATGCTCATATAATCTGACTTACAGGAAGTAGAACTTCACCCAGTAATTCCTGCACCAAATACAATAACTTCTGGTTGAGTTATTGCATACCTTTTAGGAGACATTTAGTCTTGTTTTCAAGAGTTCAAGCAATGAAAAATCTACCCATTTAAATCAGTAAATAATTCCAAAATTAAATAGTTTAACTGTTGAAAACATGCACCCCATTTCCAGTTTAAATTTGTTGTTCCTCTTTTACAGAGAATGAAGTCACAAAGCAACTCAGCAGTTTAATAGTAGAACTAGGAATAAAACCTAATTTCCAGCTCATGCTGCCTTTTATTTGTCTATTTACCATGAATGAATCTACTGATGCACTATACGTCACAGGAAAAAGGTTCAATAATAGTGCTTTTATGTCCAGGTGTGTTTTAGATAATCCACAGACAAAAAATGGATTTTTTTTTAAATGAAATATATCCTGAAGTGCTATGTCCCAGGAAGTTCCTAAATATATTGCACTCAGAAGGCTAATATTCTAACATTAAAAACTGTCCAAATAATGTGAAATGATCGTGTATTTTATCTCAATTGTCATTACCAAAGTCTAATAATCATGACATGCGATTATACTAAAACTATTTAAAACATGGATTTGGCCATTAACATGAAGAAAAAATAAAATCACATGTTAAGTAAGTGTTGTGGACCCATTTATGATCAATTTGGAAATAGCTGAAATTGTATTAAATAAATTGGTAAAAACTCCTTGTGGCAGAGCACAGGAGTCTAAAATTATCAAGCCCTGTGGTCACTTCAGCACCAATTAGTTCTCCTGGAGAAAATTAATTGGAGAATATGCAGTTAATTGGCTGACCAGTCTGAGGAAGGGGAAATCACTTAGCCACCAGATGAGAGCTATAAAATAAGATAGAGGAAGGAAGTGAGGCAGAAGGAATTGGGTTAGTTGAGCACAGTATGTGTGAGATCCCAAAGGAGAGAGAACTCTGTTCCTCTTTGGCTCTGTAAAAAAGGCAAACAACTATTTGAAAAGATAAGAAAATATTTGGCTGCACAATTCTGCATTGGGGTTGGTGGCCAGAATATAAGTAAATAACGTGGAGGTACCACTCACTGGAGAGTCATACATTTCTAGTCATGAGCTGGTGAGAATAGAGCATGTGCCATTACACACTGCAAAGTGAAAACTCCAAGTCTAGTTCCAGTTAACTTTGGTTATTAGCTTAGTTGTTTTGTAAACATTCTAGTTCTCTATGAATCCTACTGTAGTTTTAAGATCACTGAAATCTATACAATTTTCCAGCAGCAACAACATTTCTACCCTGAAAGCTATTCATTTTTAAAATAGAGGGGCTTCTTGGATTCTTACCTCCAGTTTTTTGTGTGAGGAGGACCATGTTCAACCCGAAGTAAAGCGTAGCGAGCTGCATTCAAGGATAAACCCCTGATTCCATCTCCCCACTCTTTTTCCGCTCTTTGATGTATAGGAAAAGAAACTTCATTAACAAAATAAGTTTTCTAATGCAATATAAACCAGTATCTTTATAACTAAGGGTACATCTACACAGCAGGGCTAAAGTCGAATTAAGCTACACAACTTCAGCTACGTCAACTTCGTAGCTTAAGGTGAAATAGCTTACTTCGGCTTTTGGCAGTGTCCACACAGCAGGAAGTCGAAGAACACTCTTCCTTCGACTTCCCTTACTTCTCATGAAATGAGGGTTACCATGAGTCAGAGTAAGAAGTCCTTCAGCTCAACATTATTTTGAAATAAAGACTTTTAATGTAGACACACATTTTGTTATTTCTGAATAACGTCAGTTATTCTCTATTCCAAAATAATGCTGTAGACATACCCTAAGTGACTTGTTTAGCTGACAGAACACCATCTAAAAAACATTCTATATGAAGGATTGGACAGTGTAACAACTCAGTAAATCGCAATTCATCTCAGAAAATTGGTCCTCTTCCTCCCATTACCTCCAGATTTAACAAACTAAAAACAATAATCATATTTCAGATAGGAGAGCTAATTAAAAGGTTAGCTATTTGAGCACTGGCAAAAGACAAAAAAAAAAATTATTCATCTCACTACAGAACTGGCAATAGAACCTTTGCCGCCCCACGCCTCCCACTCGAGCTTAACACAGTCATGCTTGCACTACCACATTAAAAATAATTGTGAAAATGTTGCAGCTTGAGGTAGAGCTCAGGTTCTAAAGCGTAGAGGGGGAGGGCTGTAGGGGGTTAAGATCACAAACTCCAGCCCAAGATGCAATTGCAAAGTATTGCATGCAGGGATATTTTGAGCCCCATAAGCATGAGTCTATTAACCCTGTCTGGGAAGATCGATTCCATACACTATGTTGACATACCCTGATGCATAGCAATCCGGATCACCTCATAAAGTGGGCCCAGGTAAACAATATATGTTTTAATATGGCTAACTGTAAATGCACATTTCTAGGAACACAGAACATAGGCCATAGTTCTGTGATGGGGGAGAACCCTATTCTGGGAAGCAGCAACTGAAAAGAAAAATTGCATTAGCTCCCAATACAATGCTATGGCCAAAAAGGCTAATGAAAACCCTGGATACATAAATAGAGGAATCTCAGGTTGCAACAGAGAGGTTATTTTATCTCTGTATTTGGCATTGGTGCAATCACTGCTGGAATACAGTGTCCAGTTCTGGTTTTTACAGTTCAATAATGTTGATAAATTGAGGACGCTTAAAGTGTTAGAAAACATTCCTTATGGGAATATACTCAAGAAGCTCAATATATTTAACAAAGAGAAGATTAATATGTGACTTGATTAGTCTATAAATACCTCTATGGGGAACAAATATTTAATAATGGTCTCTGCAAGATACAATGTAATCCAATGGTGTGAAGTTGAAGTTAAACAATGGCACAATTTACCAAAGGTTGTGATGGATTCTCCATCACTGACAAGTTTTAAATCAAAATAGATTTTTTCCCCCTAAAATCTGTTATACACATCATTTTGGGGGAGTTCCATGGCCTGTGTACTGCAGGAGGTCAGACTAGATAATTATATTGGTCCTTTGGGGATTTGGAATCTATGATCTATGAACTCAATATAGAATCTAAGGAGGTACCTTTTTTACAAGGTTTTTCCTTAACAAAAGGAATGAATGGAAATAAAAAGATTTTTTCCATCAAAACTGTTATTGATATTTCTTGGGAATCACCTTGGAATAACTTCATTATCTGGGGCCTATAACTGTAAGAAACTTTTAATCTTCACTGCTCATAGAAATGAAATGATCACTGTATGCTCATTCAGCCTCCTCCATTCTCAGCTTCTCCTATCTACTGTTATATCTGAACTGTAAGAACCAGAAATGGGGTGACCAGACATCCTAATATTATTGGGACATCTCAATATTACAGGCTTTGTCTTCTATATGTAACTGTATACTCCCTGCTCCCCCCCCCCAAAAAAAACCCAAAACAACAGTGTCCAGATTTTTCATACTTGCTCTTTAGTCACCCTAACCAGAAATAAGTTTGGCCCCAGATGTGAGGAAATGATTGCAGACTTGGGCTATAGTGTGAATTTTTCTGCAGTAGGGAATTTGATTTAGTATATAAAACTCTTCTTTATTCATTCTTACTTTGGCATCAGCAGGCTCCAGATACTTTTATTCTTCTCAGACAACTATGACTTGTTTTTAATAGGGTTAAAGATAAATGTGCTAGCCATAATGAATGGATGGTCTGCTACAGAACTGGCCAAAACATGGGATTTCTAGTTTTCAGCAAACTTCTCATTGTGTAAAATTTGATTTTGTTCCAAATCAGAATAAAATCATGTATGTTTTATTTAAATTTTTCCAAGAATCAGGAATAGCCCCAAAATTCACTTTAGCAATAACAACACAAGTTGTTTCTGAAAATAAACTTTGAATCCCTAACCTGACACTGCTCATTGAAATTAATATTTTTGTTCGCTTCATTACTGCTAGCAGCATTCAGAAGCTGCTGTGGGTCTCTAGAGCAGCTCTAACTTGCAGATTGCTCTTGTCTAGAGACCTAGTCAGTTGGCCAATGCTGTGCACAAGGCAGCACTGCCCTAGAGCTGCAGATCCTGTGATCTTTTCTCTGCATTATGTGTTTGTATAAACAAACAGTAAGTATCTTGGCACTTTGACATTCTCTCTGTCTTGCAGAAAGGAATGCCCTTTTTATACATACTCAATTATGTAATTTTGCTTGAAATTTCCTGCAGAACAGGTGGAATTTTGGGGCTTCAGAAACATGTAACTTTCTTAAGTTTGCTTCTTGACATTAACATTCAAGCATAACATTTCAAATTTTCCCAGTACTAATTCTCCAATAAAAATAAATTCAATATAAGGAATAAAATACATCATCTTACCCTCTATATTCTATGTACTTGTAAATACATCCTGCAATTAGCATGGCAATCAAAGCATAGTACCAAGAGCAAATGAACATCAAGGCAAAACATAAACTCATCCCCAGGAACGAAAGAGACCTAAAAAGAAGCACATTTTCTGAGTTCATAACATGTATGCAAATGTTTTACAAAGCCAATTCTTTCATTAAACTAACTCCCAGAAAGACCCCCTAACAAAAAAGATTTCATAATTTAAATGCATTGGCAAGAACTTCAATAATTGTTCTGAAAATGCTGAAAACTGAACTCAATATTCCATGCTCGCAATGTTCAATTCAGAATCTCTCTACTTGTGCCCATAACTCTCCTCAAGTTTTAAACAGGTCTTTTATCCCTCAATGTTATTTAACACCCATAAACTTTGAAGTGAATTCTTCATTATTTATATTATTCCATATAAATGCAGGTAAAACAGCCAATATTAATAATATTCTTGTTAAATTCAAGTACTGAAGTATGATATATTTCTCTACTGATATGCTGCCATAAGTATGTTATGTGGTAATACAAATTGGTGTATGATAAGTATCTAATGTAGTAAGAAACTATAGAGAAACCTTTTTGCTACAAAGGCTAAAAAAGACACTTTAGGATTTAAAATAGTAACAAAAATAAAAAAATAAAAAAAAATTCAGGTTGAAAAAACAGAAGAAAGTAGAAGTTTTAAAAAGACAAAAATACATCAATAAGAAGTGGTCATTAACTAAACAAGGAGAATTTTTTCTGTTTTTGTTTAAATCAGAGAGAAATAGTATGAGATTTATAAACAAAAGATTATATGTTGAGCACCAGCAATGACTATTTTTGGGCCGTCTACTATATTCCTTTATTAAAAATTCTTACACTCTTTTTCAAAGAGCCCTTATACTTGCAGCAAGCCTTTGAAATTTGGCAAGTGGATTGTCCTGGAGTCAACAAAATGCCTTTTGCTGGCTTCAAGAAAATCAGTTTAGATCTGGCCAAGCCTCAAACGTGTAAAAAATTTTAATTTCCCACATGCATTTCACACAAGGCATAGCATGGTTTTGGTTTGTTGCCAAAAATCCCCAGAATTGCATTAGCACTCTGGGCAACCATCTCAGGGGATCTCACTTCAGCAGCTCACACAAAGAGCTGAAGCCTCATCTACAATAAAGGGGAAGGTCGTCTTAAGATATGCAGCTCCACCTACATTAATAAGGTAACTGGAGTCAACATATCTTAAATCACCACCTACATAGCAGAAGGTCAACAGGAGCAAACACTCCCATTGGCTTCCCCAACTCCTTGTGAGGAGCAGGAATACCGGTGTCTATGGGGACATCCTCTCAGTTTGAATTAGTGGGTCTTCACTAGACCTGCTAAATTGAACCACAGAAGCAGAGGCGGACTGGCCTGGTGGGATACCAGGAATTTCCCGGTGGGCCATCCTCCGAAGGGCCAGCTGGCGGCTGCTGGAGGAGGAGGGGGATTGTGACAGGGCACCGCAGCCCTGCACTTTAAATTCCCTGGCGCAGGCCATTTATAGGGCACGGTGGGGCCGAGGGAGTGCAGGCGTGGTGTGCTCAAACACCACGCAACAGGTGAGTGGGGAGACGCCCGGGCGTGGTGTGACGTCATGGCCCAGGACTTTAAAACCGCCTGGCCAAAAGTTGCATCATGTGACCCAGCTTCAGGCCCGGCAAGTGGTCTGGAGCCTCAGAAGCAGCCAGGGCCAGGGCTGCGGGGACTTCTGGGGCCCAATCACAGACTCCAGCACCACAAACTGGAAGGCAGAAGGTGGGGGAGGGGAAGGGAGGGAGGAAAAATAGGGAGAAGAGGTGGGAGAGGAAGGGACTTTTGCTGAGGGGAGGGGGCAGATCAGGAGAAAAAAGGGGAAGGCACCAAGGGACAGAGTAGAGGAGAGACAAATGCCAGGGGGCCAAGTGGAGACAATGAGGAAAAGGGCAGGAGGGGAGGTGTCAGTGGGGGAGGGGACAGGGTTATGGTGGGAGAGGAGAGGGTAAAGGAATTGGAAGCTAGAGGGAGGAGGTGCTGGAATAAGGTTTGAAAGAAGGGGTGGGCATGAGGAAGGCGGGGATGGAGCAAGTCAGGTGTGAGGGCACAGGGGCATGAGGGGAATGGGGTCAGAGAGTTGTGAGGGGGTGGGCATCAGGGAAAAAGAGGGCAAAGGGGAAAGGGGCAGTGAGGGAAGGAGGGGCACCAGAAGGGTACAGGGGTAAGGGAAGATGCAGGTGCCAGGGGATTCTGCGGATGAAGCAGAAGGGCAGATACCTGCAGGAGAGCGATCAGCACCAGAGGAGAGAAGCAGGGCAGGTATGTGAGTGAGATGTTAGGAGAGGGGATGAGGAGGGGTATCTCACATGATCAGAGTGGGGCTACTGGAGGAGTGGGCACAGGGAGGAGAGAAGGACTGGTGGAGGGGGGCAGGTCGCAGGAGGGCTGAGGGCAATGAGGGCAGGAGTCAGGACAGCAGAAGAGGGTGAGGTTTGGTGGGGAAGCAGGCACCAGGGGAGCTGATGGAGTAAGGGGAGGAGACAGGGCAACAGAGGGAAGAAGGAGAGGTTTATAAGATCTTTTTAATAACTTGAGTACCACAGTGGCACATTCAAACAAGCCACATGAACTCAGTACTGGTGCACAACACAAAATTCATTCTGCTCATGGGAGGAAACTCTTAGAGGGAACACTTCCCCCAGCCTCTACACCCCCGAGTTAATGTCACACACATTGGGTTAATGCAATTGCAGGATAGTTGTATGAGGGGAGTTTGGTGGGGGCCAAACTAATCCCTATTGTAGGAGGATAGTGGGAAAAGTCCTTAGAGAGGGGTCACATGACACCTTTTACTTCTTGTCATGTGTCCATCTTGCCACGAGAGTGCTACCTCCAGAGGCCTGGCTAATGGGAGTCACGGGGTGTGGCTAATGGGGGCTAGGGCATGGTTAACAGGGGCGTGGCTAATGGAGGTCAAAGAGTAAATTTTAAAAAAATTCTTTGATGTGAAAAAGTGGGCCATTCTCAACCCATTTTCCAGGCCTATTTTGATTGCCAGTCCACCCCTGCACGGAAGTTTGACCGCGGCAGCGTTAATTTTCCATGTAGTGTAGACATGGCCTGAGAGTCCAGGTGGGATATAGATAAAATACATATTGCTTTTTTTGCTTTTTGTCCCAAACAAAATACCCTTTAGCCTAAGGCAATGTTTCTTAAACTTTTTAAGATTGAGGAACACCAAACCATTTTTTTTAAAATGAGGAACACCAAGGATTTTTGTTGAGCAAAAAAGGTCGGGAGGAAAGTTATTAAGGAAAAAAAAGGGTCACCTGCCCCTTTAAGGGTGGCCATTTTGAATTCTGTTGTTCTCTGCCGCACACCGGTGTACCACGGAACACAGTTTAAGAAACACTTGCCTAAGGGAAATTCACCATGTTTGAAGCAAGACCTTTGCCCCTAGCAGGGGAAATCCTAGCATCATATTCCCAATGATTTTAAGGGGACTAACATTTCATCACCTAGATGTAAAGTCAGTACTACAACTGGGTGTTAACAGTTCTATGAACTTCAAAAAGCTCATTACTGAGTAAGGCACCACAGTTCACACAAATTGGGAATCCAGATCTCAAATACGGCAGATTCAAGCCTGAGTCACTTACCAAAGTCAGAAATTTTGCCAAATACAGATTGAACCTCTCTAGTCCGGTACCCTCAGGACCTGACCTGTTTGGAACCAGAGAATTTTCCGGACTACAGGAGGTCAATATTAAAATTAAAACTAAATAACAGCACAGAACACTGAGAGCTAGGATTGGTGGCTGTAAGGAAACCATATGGGACCACAGAAAAGTTGGTCACATCCATGAAAAATGGACATCTGGCTTACTAAAATCATTCTGGATGACAGATGTTTCCAGACCAGAGAGTTCTGGACTAGAAAGGTATGAAGTATATGTTCTTGGCTATGGTGTCTCTAAAAGCAACTTACTTCAGTACATATAACTTTCTTTCAATATGTTACCTGTCCTCTTTCAGTGGTTGGTCAAGAAAACAAAACAACCTTTTCATACTTCCAGCTAAAGTCCTTGAACTCAAGTAACAGTGTAGCAGTACTAAGATTTAGTAGCTGATTGAGGTTTTGGGGGTGGAAGGGTGAGGGGGAAGTGAAATATTTCTTTACATTTTACAAAAAACAAGGATGTTTACTCTTAGTTTGCAGCAAGCAACAGTGTTACTATTGACATGAGCACAGCACAGTGGGACCCATTCCATCTACCACACGGACCTTTGCCCCTAACAGCAGAAGTAGCCGTCATGGGATGTCATCCTCTGTCCATCAGCACTAGGGGGGGTTCAAGCACACACTGGCAGTGAGTTTGACAGATATTTTCTGGGAATCTGCATACTACTTCAGGGCAGTAACCCACACCGCGTTAGTATAAAATTTGAATAATAAAAAGTTCAAATTCTCTAATTGCCTCTTTCAAAAGATAATAAAATGCTAAGTAAAAGAAAACCCATGTAAGGGAATAATGTAAGGAGTTTTAATCTTTGCATGTAACTGAAAAGGGTAGCACAGTACATATTCCAGATTCAGGTTGGGTGTTAACACAGTATGTTTTAAAGCACAGATTTGTGCCTTTCCTTGAAGTTTATAAGAATTAAAAGAACCATTTAGATATGAGAGCTGACTCCAAGCAACTATTCATTTTCAAAAGTATGTGCACTACCATTACCACCCATGTAATGACTGCTTGGATAACTGCACATGCACTACAAATTACCGGTTCATGCAAATTCCAAGTTGCAGCATATATTTGAAACAAATGTATGAACAAATTATATGCAAAACTGAGCAGCACAATGTTTAAAATCAGACTTCTAATTTACTTAAGTTTAGTGAGCCAATGAAAATGAGTTTATAGCCAATTCTATTGTTCTGGAATTATAAATAGTGCATTAATGTAATTATATGAGTTTTCCAAAATAATGATGTAATAGAAGACCAAAAGCTTTCAGCTGCCACTGAAGTTGAGTGGAACTGTGCACTGACCATTAAGTACTGTAAAAATACTAAGTATTCTGAAAAATCAGAGCATAACTTCCTCAAATTAGGCATCCAAATTAGAGGACACTTTTGATAACTTTGGCCTTAATCTCTCTGTCTCAGTTTTCCATGTGCAAAATTGGGATAACAACATCATCTAACTTCAATAACGTTTGTGAAGCACCTGGCTATTACAGAGAGAGCACCAAAGAGACTCCAAGAAAGAAAAAAATATTTTTTTATTTATCTTTTGAGCGTTTGGATGGTGTGCATTTAATACGACCTGGGATTACACACTGAATGATACAGGTAAACATAAATATTGAATTAACTATCCATTCCCTGTGTCAGGCAAGGGTCCAGTTAGGTCCTGAATTAACTATCCATTCCCTGTGTCAGGCAAGGATCCAGTCAGTTCTTGAGTTGCACCAAAATACTGTTCTGGCACATTTTTGAGCGGCCAGAATCAGTACTTCTTAAAACCATTCAGTAAACATAACTGCAGGTGAAGAAGAGAAATCTTGTAATGAAAGTGTGTATATGAATAGGTTAATTTTATGTCCAAAATTACTATTATTTGAATGGCAAAGTCATGTACTCCAGTGACTGGGAGTGTGAGGGGGAGAAGTTTAGGACTACAGCAATGGTTCCTATAGAAATGAAATTGTGTATGTAAGTATGTAATTAAAGACTATAGTAATAAATACATTAAGGGGGCTGAATTAAGGCTGCACAGAGGTTATGTTCATAGATTCATAGAGTTTAAGGTCATACGGGACCATCATGATCATCTAGTCTGACCTCCTGCACGCTGCAGGCCACAGAACCTCACCCATTCCTGAAATAAACTCCCATGTGGCTTTAACTTCAACTGTCATTTTGTGGGCTCTTGTTCATAACTATTTCTGTCTTGCTTACTATCTACATCAAACTTAGAAGTAACTGAAATCAACAGGGAAAAATATTTTCCCAAACTCTCTCCTTTACTCTATTTTTAAAATTAAGCCATTCAATATTGCTCTTCTAAATAAGAAATGTACATGAAAAGATTTCCTACCAATGGTAATACTTGAAACGAGGTCTCCAGTTTGGAGTGCATAAAAGAGTTTGCACTGCACAGGCCAAGTTCACAAACATGTAGCACATTAGAAAAAACCTGTAGAGAAAGACATATCTTTCAGAGCAGAAACGAACTCAATAATCTCACATATAAAATCTATCATGCACATAGGAATACATAAATATATTTACGGAAAGTTCAGTTTGGTATAGCAACACGGGAAATACTAAGTCAAATTGGATAATAGTTTGATATTGAGATGAGAGATGATAATCTCTGATAGTGGTGAGTACCAGATGTTTCAGAAGATGCACTTTAGTAGACAAAGAATGAACCATCATTTACACTTTGAAACATGAAACAGGGTTTATATCTCTCAAAAAACTTTTATCAAAAATCTTTATTGTTGTAATTTTAGGTATTTTTTGTTACTTATATAAAACTAATCCTTTATACATTTTACTAATCTCTTTGTAGCATTATACTGTACAGCCTAAGTTCCACATGTAGTGTATTTTGTTAAAAATGTTTATTTTTTAAGTTTTAAATTTAGATATTTTTATTTTTACTGATTGTCCTTTTGATACTGTATTTTAGAAAAGATTAATAGAAATGCTCAGTCTACATTCCCTGTAGCATTATTTCACATACTTTTAGCGGATCCTGTTTATTTCATTTCTCCTTTCTAAAACAGACAAATACCAGATTAAAGATGTGCCATAAAGTGTATCCTTCTTAGACAATTTTCTTGCAACTGTTAATACAGACATAATTCTTTTGGTTTAAAGATATCACTGCGGACAGGAAAAATATTTTAAAAGAAAAGTGCTACTGATGCTCTTCAAGTTTTCAGGCAAGAGACATTTTTTCATGTAACAGCTTTGGTCTCTGGTATATTGTAAGGCTTAATCTATCTTAATGTAGAGGAAAAACAACCTCACATTTACTGAAATTACCTATAAAATAGGAAAGACATTTGATATTAGAAATATTTTAAATAGGAAAATATGGAAAACAGCTGCTTATTGCAACATTGTGGGTGAATTACTAGAGCAACTATCCTAATTGAAAGAAATATTAAAGAGGTTTTCAGGATGAGTTATTGAGTTAAATATGCATTACATCACTATCTTCTAAGCCTATGATGTCTTGTTTGAAGAGGTCTTTGTCACTCAAAAGCGTGTCTTATTACCTTGCCCACCTTGACTCTCTAATGTCCTGGGGTTAGGACACTACAACACAAGAAAGCCTCACAAACTGTCAGGCACTCAGATACCACAATAATTAGGGCCATGTAAGTACAATAGATGTTTTGGTAGCACTGGACTCAGGTCTGACTTATACCATATATAAAGGTAATACACTTCTCTGAATGTCCATCATGTTTCTTTACATAGACCATGTCTACATTATGAGAAAAGGTCAAATTTATTAAGGTTGACTTTTTAGCACCCGGTTCTGTAAAGTTGATGGTGCATGTCCCCACTGTGTGCAAGAATTTGACAGAGATTGAAGTAGTGCATCCCCAGTAGGGTGGCTACGGTTGACTTGGAGAGCAATGCACTGGGGATAGCTACCCCACAGTGCCTGCTGCCCCTTTGGCATTCTGGGTTATGTTTCCAGTGCACACTGGGACCAAAGCAGTGCAGTGGGTGGTTCTGGGTATATGTCATTAACATTCCCTAATGCACTCATTTCCACACACCCTCACACCCAACTTGAGAGCAAGACCAAACAGTCTTTTTGCATCCTTTTTTCTCTTGCTTATCCATGTAGATGCCATAACAGTGTAAGCATGGGCCCCATCCTGAATGCCACTGAGCATCAAAACAGTATGATGATTTTAACATTGGTGGGCCTACTGCTGGAGTATGTCCAGAGTCTGCAGGAATACAATAAATCTCAGGAGGCCATGAACATACTCTTCTGTGAAGCACTTGAGCTGAGTGACTGGCAAATGCTACAGGCATTTGATCCTCTGTACATAGTGAAATGCCGGTTCTGGTACCATCAGACAAGCACAGACTGATGGAACCTCATTGCGATGCAAGTATGGGATGATCACCAGTGACTGCAAAACTTCCGTGAAAGTGGCCTTGTGAATATGGAAGTTTGCAAATTGCATTTTCCTCCCCTGAAGCACAAGAATATCAGAATGAGACCCTCTCTGACAATAGAGAATTGAGTAGCAATTAACCAGTGGAAACTTACAATGCCAAACAGCTACCAGTTAGTTGGAATCAATTCAGAGTGAGGAAATCTCCATTCCCTTTGCAATCTTGGCATAGATATCTGCATTTGTTTTGATGGTCTGTGAGAACAGATTCCTCTCCCCACCAGGATCTCCTGCATGCTCCATGCTGGTGCTCATCTGTGGCACTGAGAACTCATGGTCACATGCGCTGACTGTTCTGAGGTCTGCTCACCTGAGAGCAGTAGGGTCAAATGTCATGGCCAAACCAGTCACCACGGGGGACTGTGGGACACCTCCCAGAGCCCATGAATATCGACTTTCAAAGCGCTGCATCTGCACTACTGCAAAGTCAACCATGCAAGGTTGAATTTAGTGGTTACTCCTTGTGAAAGCAAGAGTACAGAAATTGACTTTAATGGCCCTTAAAGTCAATGCAACAGGCTTCATGGTGCAGACTTATTGTTTAGAAAATCGACCTAATGTGGCTAAGTTTGACCTAAACTCCCAGTGTAGACCAAGCCTTACATATCCAAGAAACAAAGATTACAGGCCATTCTTATTTGATGGGGAACTCTAGCCTGGGAAGCAGTTACTCTGAAAAAGATTTGGGGGTTGTGATGAATAATCGGTTGAACTTTAGCTCCTAATGTGATGTTGTGGTCAAAAAAGGCTAATAGAATCTCGGGTTGCATAAATAGGGGAATCTTGAGCAGCAATACGGAGGTTAATATTATCTCTGCATTTGGCATGTGACCACAAGCTAGAATTCTGAGTCTATTTTTGGTGTCCACAACTCGAGACAGATATTGATAAATTGGAGATAGCGCAGAGAAGAATTAGCAGAATGAATAAAGGATTAGAAAGCATGGCTTTAAGTGACAGTCTCAAGGAGTTCAATCCATTTACCTTAGCAAAGAGATGGTTAAGGGTTTACTTGATTAAAGTCTGAAAGCTACATGGGGTACAAATATTTAATAATGGACTCTTTAGTCTAGCAGAGAAAAGTATAACATGATCCAATGGCTAGAAGTTGAAGCTAGACAAATTTAGACTAGAAATAAGGTATGTGCTTTTGACAGAGTAATTGGAACTGTTCACCAAGGGTTGTGGTACATTCTCTATCATTGACAATTTTTAAATATAGATTGAATATTTATCTAAAAGATATGCTCTAGGAATTATTTTGAGATCGCTCAATAGCCTAAAATATGGCTCTGCTGGAAATCAGACTGGATGATCATAATGATCTTCTCTGGCTAGCAGTTTATGAAAGAATTTCATTTACTCACTTAGCTATTCTATCACACAGGGAGCTCATGGTTATGCACCATAACCTCTAAGTCCTTTTCAGAGTCACTGCTTGTCAAAATAGTCTTCCATGCTATAAATGCAATCTACATCCTTGATTCCCAGATGCACGATCTTGTATTTAGATGTGCTAAGTATATTTTGTTCAAGTGAACCCACTTAGTCAATGTGACCTACCCTGATCTATAGAATCGACTTGTCCCCGGCATTATTTATCATATAACCTATTTTCTGGCATCTGCAAACTTTACCATCAATTATTTTATATTTTTTCCTGATCACAAGTGAAGATATTCAATAGCCATAGGACAAGAATAGATCCCTACTGGATCTCACTAGAAATTCCCCTATTATATAATAACTCCATCATCAGAACTGATTTGTGAAATCTCCCATTTAGTCAGATCTCAGTCCATTTGATACGGCTTGTGTTGCTTTCAGATAGTGCTAATATTTTAATCAGAGTGTATGCAGTACTAAGTTAAATAAGTTATGGAACCCTATTTCAGTTAAGCATTCATTTAATTTAGCATTTAATCACATATGGTCAGTCTAGGTTCTCTTCAGGTTAGCTGTAACCATTACTAACTATAAGATCTGAAAAGTATTTCAAAGACAAGAAAAAAGTCTTGGCAACTAAGTTAAATAATTTCAATAATATGTATGTTTTTAAAAAAAAACAATTCTATGTTTCACATGCATACTTACATTGAAAGAATTGGTGCTACACTATCCAATGAAGCTATGAGAATTCCTATCTCACATATACAAGCAGTGAGAAGTAATGCCCAAGTTGGTTCACCATTTGCTTTTCCATGACCAAATACCTAATTCAATTAAAATATTCAGTAAAATGAGTAAATCTGTTCAATATATAATTCTCAAAATAAACCAAAGAGAAACCATCTTTAATAAAATCCAACACATTTACTGGTTAAAGTCATTTTAAAAACAATTTAAAATCTACATGCATAAGCAGATTCCCTTATATATTAAAAAGCAAATTTACATGCATTAAGACTTGACATAGCAAAGCTACATTTTTTATAATGCAGAATCTACATTTCAGTGATGCAGGAGAGGAGCAACATAACATTACTAATCACGGGTCTAATTCTTGATACTGCCTTAAAGGAAGAAAACAACAAACAAGGGAAACAGCATGGAAAAGCTTATAGAAAAGCCTACAATAAATCAGTAGAAGGAGCCCAGTAGCTGAGATATGGGATAAGGGAGAACTTATGGCCAAATCCACTGAGGAAATTTTACTCACAAAGGTGTTGTAAGGTAGAAGGATCAAAGACTGCTTTCAATGTTCCAAAGAATACACATAACAGTATATGTTCCCTCCTCATCTCGCCACACAACCATAACAACAACCACAACAATCCAGTTTCTCCTCTCTCTCATTCCCAATTCCACACCTTGCCTTCCCTCATCCTTCAATCCCCCCTCTCTTTTATTCAAACTCTCCTTCTTCTTGTAAACCCCCATTTTTCTCAAACATATCTTGCCATATTTCAAATGTCTTAAGGTCTCTTGCACCTTTGCATATTTTTCTGCACCTCCTAATATTAGTCATTTTCCATATTTGTCCAAAAGAGTGAAAATGTATCAAAATAACAGGAGATGACTGAGTTAACATTTTTGCATCCATTGTAACCCTGTTCTCCTTTTGATTTTTATTTGCAGTTTTTTATAGTTTTCAACATTTACTTTGGCTGGAAAAGAGACTGGCCTGTTTGGGATGGGGCTCTGCCCTAAAACACTGCCAGGGAAAGACCTCTGCTCTCTGGACTCCCACCCTACTACCCCCAGTCCTAACCAGAAATTTCCTCCTCCCCGCAAAGAGAGGTCAGAGCTGGGAACCATGCCTTTGCCCGAGACAGGCTGCAGGCTTACAGGCCATTGGGGGGACCACTGCAGGCTGGGACTGTCCCTCAGAGTCCCTGTGAACAGACTGCAGGTATTCATTTTATTTTCCAAAAAATAAAAATTAATTGAGTTAAGGATCAGAGCAATGCCAGGTAAATCTTCTAGTGTACAAATAAATGTCACCTGAACTCTAAACCTACTCTGGAATCTGAACATTAACTTGTTCATTATTTGCTGGCTTGCATATTTCCAACCATAACAAAATTCAGCGGGTCCAATTCTGCCTCAGTTTCACAGTGCACATCTTGATTGATCGAAGAATAAAGATAATAAATCTGCACACAGATACATAAGGACAAAGTGTAGGCTGCAAATGCAACTTGATTTACCTTTTTTAAAAATTAAATTAAAATCTAGCTTTGGCTCAAGTTATGTTTGTACTGCAATCCAAGGTGTGACTTCAGTTCAGACAAACATACCTCTACTAGCTTTAGTCATACTAGGTTTGCTAAAAATAGCAGTGTAGTTAACGGGTTAGGTGCAGACTTTACAAGTTCACCCATAATCCTGAATACCAACTTGCATTGCTCAAGCCTACACCACCACATCTACCCTGATCTTTTTGGTACTGCTCACACAGGTAAAGCTAGCACCCCATCATTCTTTCATGGCTCTGCAGCACTAACAATAATAAAAAGAATTGAAAACATACTAGTGTCAACAATATACATGCAATGTAAATGTAACTGCATTTAAAATACTGAAGAAAAAAAGTAGCTCACTTGAAGAAATGGTATTATGCCATCTCTCGCAATAGCCTGCAATAGCCGAGGTGCACCAGTAAGACTCTGTAGACCAGCACCACATGTAGAGAAGAATGAACCAATTACAATTACCCATGGAGAAGGCCATGCCAGTGTACCAATCACTAGGTTTCCATTAACTGCTTCTCCAAACCTTGGGGAAAAGATAACATAAATGAACAAGAAAGAATAGTTAATGCTAAAGTGATAAGTCTTCTGCTATGCTCAATATGCACATTTCTAAATTTTTTAGCACTCGATGAATGATACTCAATACTTTAACAAGATAGTTTGGGTTTCCCTAACTGATATATCCTCTTTCTTATTCTATTAAAGAATGGAGCAGCTCAGTTTTACAATACAGCTGTGAAGTAATCAGATTTATTACTACATGTGTCTTTGCAAGATATGACTTCCATATTATCTAAGCACATCACTTTGTTTATACCAACACCAAAATATTTACGTATACGCTCTCTACTCCTTGTGGTATTGAACTCATTATCCTGTAATGAGAACCAGAGCCACAATACTAGGAGCCAGATTTTCAAAGTTCTGTGCTGTTACGAATGCTGTCAGAGACAGAGACACAATAAGGAGATACACATGAAGGCTACGTCTACACGGCAGGCTTTCTGCACAAGAACGGCCGCTCTTGCGCAAAAACTTGCGGAGAGTCTACACTGCACGCTTGTTTGTGTGCAAGTAAATTTACAGTAAAGCATCGGAAAATAGGGCTTCTTGCGCAAGAGTTATTCCTCTCTTGTGCAATAGTGTGGCAGGGCAACAGGGGTTTCTTGTGCAAGAAACCCCTACGGCTAAAATGGCCAACAGAGCTTTCTTGCGCAAAAGTGCATCCACACTGCCATGGACACTCTTGCACAAAATCACATCCCTTGCACAAAAGCACATGGCAGTGTGTACACACTCTTGTGCAAGACCTTTTGCGCAAGAACTCTTGCGCAAAACAGGTCTTGCGCAAAAAGCCTGAAGTGTAGACATAGCCGAATATTGTTTTGGAAATAAATGGTTGAGTGTACACAGTGCATGGGTACCAGATGATGTATGAGTGTCAGTGGGTGACGTACGGTTATAACCTGGAGATAGATGCGAACTGACTATTTTTAACATTGTTCAGATAAGCTTAAGACTCTTGGGCATGCACATGTATGGAGGCATCCTGCAAGCAGTCCTCCATTAATTGTTGTTGGATTAGCTATCCAGGTTAATGCAAAATAGCAAATGGAAGAAAGAGCGGGACAGAAGTGCTAAGGAAAAAATGGCAAAGCTGTGACTGTTTTCTTTGAGGTAAAGGAAAGTAAAAAACCCCATAAGGGTGGCAACTAGAATTAGCCAGTCATCTACACACCTATGCCCTTCACCTGACACACTGTCTGAATCTGTGCAATTTTTGAAAGATGTTTATCAGGAGAATGTGCAAAGGAAATCAAGAATAGGAGCCAGGTGCTTTCATAACAGCAACTGATGCCCAAGATAATTTCAATGGTTTCTTGAGATTAGTGATTCTGTCTTGCCTGTGGATCCATGCAAGAGTCCCGAGAGGGCTCAGTTAAGGTGAGAGAGTTTAGGGGAGTCTTAAGAAATGAGAGATGTCATCCAGCAAAATCAATGCAGATTTTTTTTTAAAGGGTTCACATTAATTTACTTTTTAAAAAATTGCAAGTAACTTAATGTTTGAAGATTATTAGTAAACATGTATTTCATATAAATGCATTGTATCTAGACTATTATTTTTCATTGTTTTCAGGCTTGCTAGAGCAGTTGGCAGAGAAGAGGAAAAGGTAAAGCTAAGGCAATCACGTTCCACATTATTTCTTCTCAGGTGCAAGGGCGTGGAGCAGCAGAGACACATATAGCAAGAAGCCTGATGCACTGAAGTCAGTTTTCAAAATCTTAGAATTGTGCATGCCCAGGCCTTGGATACACTCATCAACATTTTGAAGCTATAAATGCACACCCAGCTTAGAAAACAAGTCACCTAACTGAATGTGCAGAAAAAGGCATACCAGATGGTGCCAGCATATATTAACAAGCCACCCTGTAAATTGGACTCTTGGGGATATGGCACAAACTGAAGGGACAGTGGATTTAGATTCTTTGCTCTGTGTGCCCCTGTTCAGTGATCTACTCATGCAAGGTTGGTGGATTGGAAGGGCCTGTGAAAGACTGACACACCATAACCAGGTGAACAAGGGGCTGTAAGTCTGATGCAAAACACTAGGCACCCTGGAGTGTACTTAGCATATTTTTGTTATTTTTTCATCTTCAGCTTTGACTTATCTGTTTTAAATTAAATAATAAGATGAAATTAAGAAAGTTAGCAATGTTAACCATCACATAAACACTCACCATTTAAATTAAATTTCCAAAATAAAACCTATTCAAACATATTTTTATTCCAATATAATCATCATTTATGAGCGTACATAAAACACGTATATTTTATAAAGATGAAAATTAAACATACATACTTATCTCTTAATATTACACCTTCTATACATGCACCAAACAATACAATGCAGGATAGATCTAATATTGAGACTGAAGGAAAATAAAAACACATTATATTGTTGTATAACTTGGAGAAGACAAACACCACATTACATAAGAATCTGTAAAAAATTTAAAAACATTACTTTTTTGTGGTCTTCTTCCAGCTCTTTCACAAAATAATAAAATTAATCAAGGGTTGGGGAATTGTGCCATACTTAATGATGTGCTATATTTATTCCATGCTTTACTCCAATGTTGTGTGGAAAATAGCTATATATATGATATATTTAAACACACCACCATAGGGATATATATTTTCTCATATTTTAAGCAATTTCAAGTGACCCAAAATTTGGCATTTCATAAACAAAGACTTTCTGGTTCCTAATTTTGTAATGCTGTATAACCCCTGGTCTACACTAAGGAGTTATTTTGGAATAACCCCGCTTATTCCAAAACAACAAGCAGAACAGACCATCCACACTACCAAGCCCGTTACTTGGAAATAACAGGTTGGCTATTTTGAAATCTGTATTCCTGCCTTCCTCAGGGAATAACGCTTATTTCAAAATTCTTATTTTAAAATAATAGTGTGAGTGTGGATGATCTGGTGCTGCTAATTTGAAGTAATTGGCCTCCAGAGGCTACTCAGAGTTGCACTTGTGCTAGCTCCACACCTGTCAGCTCCACTGCTCCCCTTCTCCAGAGAAGCTTACAACAGCAGGCTGCTGGAGAAGGGCTTGAGGCACGTGGAGAGCTTTGCCATCCCTGTGCCATACAAGGCACAGCAAATGGAGCAATGGCCGACCCCACCACTCCCTCTGAGCCCCCCATGGCTGCCAGTACTCCCACAATTCCCTCAGTTGTGATTGGCAAGGGATGCAGGAGAGCACTAGCCTGGACTAGTGCAGAGACGTTGGACCCCATCAAGGTCTGGGATGAGGAGACCAACCTCCAAGATGTCTGCACCACAAAATGCAACATGGACATTTATGGCCAGATGGCCACCGGCCTGGCTGAGAAAGGTCACACCCAGACCCTCAACCAGGTCTGGATGAAAATCAAGGAGCTCCCGCAGGCCTACAACAAGGCCAGGGAGCAGAGTGGACACTGGGGCAGCACTGCACACATGCCGCTACTATGACCAACTCAATGCCACCCTGGGAGTGGGACCGGTCACACTCTCCCATCGTCATCAAGTCCAGCCAGGACATGCCCGGTGTCAGCTTCCATGAGGGCAGGGTTGTGGAGGAGGAGGAGGAGGAGGAAGAGGAAGAGGAGGTAGCCAGCCAGGCGACTGTGCACATAAGCCAGGAGCTGCTCATCACCCTGGAGCCAGTCTCCTCCTCCCAGGATGTCTGCCAGGCCTCAGACAATCCCGGGGAAGGCACTTCAGGTGAATTCCATCATTTTTCCTATATACACTTGGGGGCAGGCGATGAGTTGTGAGGGGCTGTGTGCTCCTTGCTTGGCCTACTTGGCCTAGCGACTGCACAACAGCCTGTGCACATGGGTGCACATGGAGCACCAGTCCAGACCACTCAGCTCCATGATGCTCTCACACAAGAATCCCTTGCTCCTTCTCACAAGGTTCCCGGAGAAGCCTGCCTTACTCCGGCCTCTGTGGTGGGACACCTTCCCACGACAAGCCACCACTAAGAAGGCTGGGGTCATGGAAACACACAGCAGTGCCACACATAGCACAGGCTCATGCCCGCAATCGGGCACCATCTGCTCCCGGTCAAGCACAGTGATGCAGAGGAGATTGATCTCATGCATGGGAACCTGCCGGGAAGAGGAAGAGGTAGGGACACCAGTAGCACTCTCTCTGGCAAGTGGCTTCTACCACTCACACACATCTCCCCCAAGCCTCCTTCTCCCCCCATCCTCCAGTGGGTAGAGATAGAAGTTCTCTCTCGGTGGGATGCTGCCACTGCTGGACCAGTGTGTGCAGGCCTCAGAAGGACACTGAACTCCCCGTCCCCCACTTCTACCCGCAGACTCCTGGCCTGGCCGGCATCTTCCCATGCCTGATTGTCCCCAGGCCATGGGTGCAGCAATGTTCCCATAGGACGTCCATGCCCCTGCTGGAAAGCACTCGCTGTCAAGGCAACATATGGACTTGCTCACAGCACACTGCCATCATCTGAATCAAAATCTTGGGTGTCGGGTCAAAGATTAGGGCTAGGCTTCAAACACAGTGTCTCCTGGGGTGACTGCCCTTGTAACTTTTCTTGACAGCTGAGCCAGCTGCACGCTTGGTGCATCCCACACCATCTTCCTGACTCCACAGGATCCACAGGTGGAAATGCACTTGGGAAGACCTCATGAGGGAGCAGATGGCCTCTCTGCAGTCCCTTGTCTGGGGGCTCGATGAGGAGAGCCAGGAATGGGCTGCTGACCAGGAGGAGCAACGGGCTAACCAGGAACAGAGGAAGGCTGCCTGGGACCAGCTGACAAGCCAGCATGAGGCCATGTGCTCCTCTCTCACCTTGGTGATGGAGTGCATGGCCTTGTCCATGGAGCAGATCACCAACTACCTCCCCACCCCCACCCCATGGTATCCCCTCCTAGTCACTGGGGCCCCAGAAAATAAGGTGGTGGGACCTCTCAGGCAGCCAAAGCCTCCTGTGCTGACAGAAGCAAGAGTCACTCCCACTCCCATCCCTGAGCCCCCTCCTCCTTCCTTCCCCCTCCTCCATTCCAGGTTCTTTACTCAGTCCCTCCCCTGTTGTCTAACCCCCACATTTAAAAAAAAGATAGAGAGTTGTGTTTTCAAAACAAAAAGGCTTTTTTAATTTTCTCTGCAGGAGTGAGGAAAGCTGGAAAGGGAAGGGTGGGGGAGAAAAGGCACACAGGAGCCCGTTGTTGAGAGGCACAGGGGAGAGTCTCACAGTTGGCCTTGGCTGAAACTCTCCCTCAAGACCTTCCTGAGGAGCACAGCCCCTTGACGTGTTTGTTAAATGGCACTGGGGTCCAGCAGCTTGTAAGCCCTGGCCAGCCATTCAGCCTCTGCTTCCCACCCTGGCAGGAAAGTCCCCCCTTTGCTCTGACAGAGGTTGTGGAGCACATAGCAGGCTGCCACCACAAAAGGGATGTTGCATGTGCTGAGGTCCAAGCCGGTGAGGAGACTCCAGAACCTCCCCTTTAAACAGCCAAATGCACATTCCACCACCATGCAGCACTTGCTTAGCCTGGCATTGAAATACTCTTTTGTGGGGCCAGGCTGCCCATGTAGAGCTTCATAAGCCAGAGGAGCAAGGGGTAGGCTGTGTCGCTCAGGATGCACCTGGACATCTCCACCTCCTCAACTCTGATAGTGTACTTGGGGAAAAAAGTGCCGGCATGCATCCTTTGGAAAAGACTGGAGTTCCAGAAGGTTCAGGCATTGTGCACCTTCCCCAACCAGCCAACACTGATGTCAGTGAAGCATCCCTTGCGGTCCATGAGGGCCTGCAGCACTGTAGAGAATTACCCCTTTCTGCTTTTGTAGTCTGAGGTAAAGTGGTCGAGGGCCAGGATGGGGATGTGAGTGCCATCTATGGCCCCTCCCTCCCACAACTGGGGAAGCCCATGGTGGCAAACCTATTCACGATGGTGTCCATGTTGCCCAAAGTGATGACCCTCCATAGCAGAACTTGGTTTATGGTCTTGGTCATAGAGCTCAAGGAAGGTGGCTTTCCACATGCGGAAGTTCTGCAGCCACTGCTGGTCATCCCATTGCTGCAGGATGATGCAGTTCCCCCAGACCAAACTGGTCTCCCACCACCAGAAGTGGTGTTTGATGGTGTCCAGGGAATTGAGGGGCATTTGCAGCAGCAGGAGCACCAGGACCTGGGTGAAGGGAGCCTCCGGTTCGGGCTGGTCATCATCTTGCTGGAGCAGCAGGCAGGCAGCACGGAAATACTATGCCATGAGGCGCAGCATGAGGCCCGTGAGCCTGTCACTGCTTCGCAGCAGCTTTGACTCCATATTGTAAGAGTTGTGTCATCCCAAGGGCAACCAGAGCACACTGCTTCCATTCTGTGTCCTGCGAGAGGGTAGGTAGTGGAAGAGGAGTATGTGAGATGCAGCCGTAGGGAGGAGCCCCTGAAAACACGTGTCACAGCTTGCCTGACCAAGCAGCCACAGGAAGTAACAGCCCTCTTGGTCCCCTCCCCAGAGTGCTTCCAGGGGCGTTAAATCCGAGGCAGACTCCAATCACTGTGGACGCGCTATTTTGAAATAATTCTGAGTAATTTTGATGCTCCTCTGTAGTGGAAATGCGCTACTTCGATTTTGTTATTTTGGGAGTTATTATTTCAAATGTACTAATTTTGAAATAATTTTCTAGTGTAGACATGCCTTGACATTAGTTTCTTTCCCTGGTGTTTTTCAAATGGCCATATTTACTGGTTAGCCCAGGGTGATTTCAGGATCTTGTATTATCCACCCCAACAGCATCAATTTTGATTTGGAGTTTGGGGATTCAATAGAAAATATTGAGAAACTTTTGCAGTTTAGGTTCTGTTTTGTTCCTGCTAAGTTTTGAACTCAGTAAACTTGAATGTCTTCCTAGAGAAACCTCAAAGCAAAATCCTAAGGACTGTACACTTCCACCTTCATAAAGTGGATTGAAAGAAAGAAAATAATTAAAACACATTACAAAGGATACAGATAAAGGATGTAGTTGAAATTGCCAAAATTGTTCCAGTTGGGATAGATTTCTGAGCATCCCTTAGGTCTCCAGATCTGTTTGAACCTGCCATAATACCTAAATAGAAGGGAAAAGAACCAACTTCATACCATAAAAGTAATGAATAGTTATTACTTTATGAAAAGAATGTTAATACAGAATTTATGTTTAACAACAGGAAACATTTGACATTCCATTATGTGGATTACAGAACATTTGTTCAGTTTAAACTCACCTTGTTTCAGAAATTTGAACTGTAACACAAATTGTATAAAAGGAAATTTCAGGGGGTCCAGAAAAAGAGTGATATAAAACAGAACAGTGATTGGGGTAAAAAGACTGTTCAGAAGGCCTATGAGCCAATGGGTCTTGAACAGTTTTACCTTGTACCTATATGCCGTAAAATACTGGTTAATAGACTGAAAAGCCCTGAGATATGTTCACAGACAGTAAACTGGCTAAGGAATACCACTTGGGCTGATAGCAAATATAAAAGGGAGAACCTACTGCAGCAGGAGAGATACCACCCCAGATAACTCATCTCCCCCAGAATTGCCCAGTTGGGGGGGGGGGGGGGGGGAGAATTACACAGCCAACTCATTGGCGAGTACAACATACATGTTGCTGATTCCACTCCTCGGGCACCAGTATATATTATTATTCATTATGTGTATTAACAGAACACCTAGGAATCCTAAGTCACGCACACAACATCATTGGGCTAGGTCAGGGGTGGGCAAATGGGCCTCTGCAGGCCTAATCCACCTGCTTGGTGGGTGGATCCAGCCTGCCAATGTCCAGCCACTCCCCCGCCCCGGGTCAATCAGCACCTGGGGGCAGGAGGAGCACACGAAGTCTCTCACTCTCTTCCTCTGCCCTGCAAGCGCCAGGCACTCCTTGCAGAGCAGAGTCAGGGAGCAAGAGACTGCTTGTGCTCCTCCCACCCCCAGGTGCTAATTGGCCTGGGGGTGGGAGAGCATGTGAAGTCTCCTCCTGCCCTGCAAGGAGCACGCAGCACTTAGAGCGAAAGCACTACCCTTGCAGGGCAGGGGCTGGAAGCATGTGAGGCCTCCTCCCACCCTGCAAGGGGCACGCAGCACTTTCACTCTAAATCCCATATACTCCTGGCAGGGTGGAGGCAGGGAATGAGAGACTTCACGCACTCCTCTGGCCCCCATGCTCCAAATTGGCCTGGGTTGGGTGCAGCTCATCACTTCCTGCCCTACAAGGGGGTGGGTGCTTAAAGGGAACCACCAGATGTTCAGGACAGTTGGCAGTTCTCTCTAGGGGGGGAAGGTGGGGGCAAAGACTTCACATGTTCCCCCACCCCCAGGCCAATCACAGTGTGTGAGGGGGGGACCATGAAAGTGTCCTGGCCATGCGCCTTCTGGGGAGACCCAGGGCCACTTCAAAAATTAGCGAAGTGGCCCCCTGTCTAAAATTATTGCCCACCCCTGGGCTAGGTGCTGTGTACAAACAGAACAAAACACATATGTTCATATATCCTGCTATACCTTATGGGTACAGATACACCAGATCGCCTGGAGTGGCAGGTGGAAGTTACTGAGTGGATATTGCAGTAGTGGAAGAAGAGAGACACTGCTCATATCCTAGTCAAACCATATGAGGTGAAACTTCAGCCTAAGTTTGCAGACAAACCCAAAAGAGTAGCTCAAATGGGTAAATTACCCTCATTCATTTCAAGAAAGAGAAAATTATATTCTGGAGATATACGCAATCTTTGTGTTAGCACCAATTTTGGTTAGGCCGTTAGCAATATGTGGAGGCCTGAGAGGAGACAATTGGTTTAATTTTCTTGAAGGGAACTCAGCTTTCAAAAAATTAGGAAATGCTATTTTAAATGGTTTCTACTTCAGGCTATAGCTCACTGAACTAACAAGGTAGACTGTGCCTCCCCTCTACTCTGACATATAACTTAGCCATAATACCTATAGACCAAAACTGAGGGAGCAAAGTGTCAACAGCAAAACTACAATTAACAGCAGTGGTATCTTTTCATGCAAAACTGTTATATTTACCTGTCACAGATGGGAAATAAATCCCTACTAGCATTGTGAAGTAGGTCATAATGTCTGTAAAAACATATGGAAAGCCTCCAGCTTTTGTCTCTTCTATTCCACTAACTGATGGTTGACCTTGTTTTTCAACAATTGACCCTTTGTCCGTATAGACACTCCACAAGTTATCTGTAAGGAAATAAGTGAGAGCTGTAAAAACAAAAGTGGCCTAAAAAGAAGATCAACCTAGTTACATCATTCACAGCTGTGAATAATGTCACGTCCTGTGTGTGATAGGGTCTAGTCACAGAAGTCCGCTTCAGATTATTCCCCAGTATGCTGATCATGCCACTGACACCTGCATTCTTGCTTTCAGGGCCAATGCACCACTCTATCCTCCTGGGCCCGATCCTCTAGTCTCTCCCAGACAAGGTATGGGGTTAGAGTATCTGCTCCCTTGCTGAGCAATGCAGACACTGAACCACATCAGCTCTGGGAGGATGCAATTCTAGGGCACAGTCCTCAGGATCCAAACCCCAAATAAATCCATCTTTCTCTGTGTACAAGTTTTACACAATGAAAACTCATCAGGTAAGCCCCGTTTATCAATGAAAGAAAGATATGCACAGTGGTTGCTTTCCCCCAGACAACAATTTTACACTGGGCCTGACAGCAAACAAAAGTGTTTTTAGTAAGTACAAACGGTAGAATTTAAGTGGTTGCAAGTGAAAACAGACAGATCTAACTAAGTTAATAAATTAAAATGAAAATAAAATGCAGAGCTAGTTCTAATTCACTAAGAAACTCGCAAGCAGGATTCTTACTCCAATGAGCTGTCTTTATTTCAGGCATAATCTTCAAGTTAGAGACCAATTTTTACTCTGACGGGTTTCCAGCCCTCTTTGTATGTTTTTGGAATATGACCAGCCATTTCCCAGGCTATCTGAAGACCAAGGGCTGAAAGCTCCCCATTGCTTAATTAGACTCTCCCCAGGGGTGGGACTCTTTTGTTTTACATTCCCCATTCCACGGAAATTTATCACAGTCAAGATGGGTGTCAATACCAGGTGGTATGGTCACATATCTCTCCAGACCGATCACTTTCTGGACTTGCAGGACAAACCAGGCTGTTCACAAGCCATTAAGTTAATCATTAACACATGTAAAACTAGTAACAGGTTCATATTACATCCTTCTAACTTCACATACAAGAATGATACATGCACCAAAATGGGATATACAGATGCAGTAAACTGTAATATTAAAATTGACAGGTTACATGAGGTATTTTGTTCACAGCATCTCCAAATTATGCACCTCTATATTTACAAGCCAATTTTCATAAAGCAAAGGGTAGGGATCGTCACACTGTGTGGTATAGCTAGGTCGATTTAATAATCCCCACTGTAGATGTAGCTAGGCTGACAGAAGAACTCTTCCATCGACTTAGCCACCGCTTCTCAAAGAGATGGATTTACTGTACCAACAGAAACACATTTTGTTGATGTGGGAAGAGTCAACAATACAGCACAGGAGCTCTGCTGCAATTGTGTCTGAAGTATAAATCTATTCCATTTTTTTTCTCCCTACTATTTTTACATAAGAAACATAAATTTCAGACAATGTTGTAAACTACAATCTACACTTAGCATCAGATGACCTCTCTGGGTATAAAACCCTTGCTTGACATTTTGGGAACATTTCTGAAAACACCAGGAATATAGCATTAGTTTCCCCGTGGTATCTTCCATCAGCTTTTTTTTTTTCTGATGGGTGGCCACACTTTATATCTATACTATGAGTGCCAGCTAATTTCCGTAGCTATTGTTCATGGGCAGCCATTCAGCTGCTTTCAAAAATACTTGTTGACAATCAAGAAACCAGGAGCAATGGTCTCAAGTTGCAGTGGGGGGAGGAATTAGGTTATTAGACATTGCAGTGGATAGTAGGAAAAAATATTTCACAAAGAGGTTGGTAAAGCACTGCAATGGGTTACCTAAGGAGGTGGTGGAATCTCCATCCCAAATATGTTGCTCAATTAGACCCCAAGCATCTGAGTAAAAATAGTCCAGAGACAAGTGGGAAAGAATTCTTTGTGGTAACAGCGCCCATCCCATCTAGTGTCCCATCTCTAGCTATGTTTTCAGACTTACCAATTAGGACTCCACTAGCAATTCCAGGAATCCCTTGAATTTCTGTAACATTATTTAGGCTGAAGTACTCATCACAAGTGGCATTGAGCGAGGGACCGTCACAGAAGAGACTCCATAGCTTTGTTGTCACTGTTTCATTGTTTACCTCAATAAATTTGGCACAAATATCAAAGTTGCGTCTTGATAATGTACGGTTTCCAAGAAGACAAATACTACATGTGAAACAAATGAAATGGGGGGGAGAGTTGGTTATATATAGTGAATTTGTTCTCATTTAGCTTGGTCGATAAGCCTATTCTCTAGCAAATTCATTTACCATATGACACAAGTTATGCACATTATAGCATTATTAATTCTATGGCAAACACTAAGTTAATGCAGAATTGTAAAGTGCTCAGTGGTATGTTGCTCCCTTGCACAATTCTGAGTTGAGCAAAACTTAAAAGGAGAAAATAAGGTTGGCCCTTGCAACTTCAACTCTGCCATCTTTAAGCAACACCCCAACATGTTCCATTAATACACAAGCCTTTACAATGCCAACCTCACAGTTGCTGACACTATGTCTAGACTGCAAGCTTCTTTCGGAAGAAGCTTTTCTGGAAGAGATCTTCCGGAAAATTTTTTTTAGAAAGAGAGCATCTACACAGCCAAAGTGCAACAAAATAGCGATGTGTTTTTTCGAAAGATAGCATCCAATCAATGTGGATGCTATCTTGCATTTAAGTTGTGATTAGTATGAACAGAGTGGCCACCAGAGCACCTGTGTTATTTCCTGGAGGCCTCTTCTTTCAAAAACAAAACAAAAAACCAAAAAAAACTCCCTCTTCTGCATCCATACACTCCTTTTTCCGAAAAAGCTTTTTCAGAAAAAGGCTTCTTCCTCATAGAAAGAGGTTTACCACTGTCAGAAAAACCCCTCTGTTCTTTCAACTTTCTGTCGAAAGAACACAATAACAGTGTGGATGTAAGTATAGTTTTTCCGGAAAAAAGTCCGTTTTTCCAGAAAAACGCTGCAGTGCAGATATACCCTAGTATAAGATCTTCACCTTTTCCAGCCCAGTCATTTCACCAACAGGATTCCATCTAACACTATTAAAGGGGGAAATAAAGTTATCCACACTGCCATCACTCTACCCTTTTTGAGCAATGTCTTAATATTGACATAACACGTACTCATGCTGGTTTTTGGCACTCAAACTCAGGAGGTGCCAGATTGTGGTGCACACTCCAACACCTAGCCAACTCCCTAGGAAAAAAATACTATACATATAGGCTGTGTCTAGACTTGCCAGTTTTTCCAGAAAATCAGCCACTTTTCCGGAAAAACTTGCCAGCTGTCTACACTGGCCGCTTGAATTTCCGCAAAAGCACTGACGATCTCATGTAAGATTGTCAATGTTCTTGCGGAAATACTATGCTGCTCCCGTTCGGGCAAAAGTCAGTGTAGACAGCTCAGATTTGTTTTCCGCAAAAAAATTAAAATATTATTTCACTTACAGAAAGTCTGGTGGGTCAAAAGCAGTTTTAATAACACCAGCATAAATGGCAAAGATGGAAAGAATCACACATGCTAGGAAGACCAGTGCAAGTTTGTTAACATATTTGACTCCTACAAAGACTACTATGGCCATCAGAGCAATGATACACGTCCCGTAAACTCTCATGTTGTTCAACATGGCCTCTGTTTCTCCATCAGCATCTTCTGCGTTAAATATAGCCGCACTGGGAGAAATATATGTCTACAAAAGAAAACAAATTAAATATTAAAACTTTTCTTATAAGGCGCCCAACCTTTTACAATAATGTTTTCTTGGGTTTAGAGATATAAAAAATGTATTAAAGAATTTATCTGCAATACTAGCTTTAGTATTTCAAAAACTGATCCCTGTATCAGAGGAAAAGATATACCAACAGTGAAAAAAGGACATGGGATTTGAAGAAACAAAAAAGCTTCTCAATCTGTTGAAGGACAATATGATTAAGAAAAGGGTTATTTCCAACAGTTTTTTATTATCGAGTCAAAACTATGGCTTCGATGTTGAACTGTAAGAAAGGTTTCATAATATACCCTTTTATTAGCCTCCTGAGGCTTCACAAAAAAGATTAATTAAACCTGAAAATTACCCAATTTATTCTTAGGCCAAAGAGATATCTCTGCAGACTGTTTTTCAGTTACAGGTCATTAAAAGTAACCTGATTTGAAAATGTGACCAATTTTTAATATTGCTGTGTTTAATATTTGTTATATAACACAGACTATTTCTAAAGAAAACAGCTTGTAATTAAGCAAGACATTCTTAATCCAACAGTAAAGGTTATAGCATGAAAAAGTATTTTGCTATACAATAGATATTTAATGAAAACATAAAAACCTGTTCTTTTGATAACAGAGTCAGACATATAATTGCGTTCAAGTGGTACCACTGAGAAAAACTACAAAAAGCTACAATTTTAACTTCAGATGCTGCAAACATTTATGCGTGTGCTTAACTTTGGGTATATGAAGTAGTTCCAGTTAAATCATGGGACTATTCAGCTGAGCTAAGTTAAATACCTGCTTAAGCTTGCATGATGAAGGTCTTAATTTTCCATATATTTTGTAAAATTCAAGTAAGATATCTTCTTAGTAGTATTTTTTAAAACAGTAATAATAACTTAATTCATTATAAAGTATAATCTGAAGTTGCAATATCATTATTTTTCAAAGTAGTTTTACAAGCCCTCAACCTGAATTAATTATTTTAAAAAAATCAAATGGTTTAAGTAGGGTACTTAAAACATGACACCCAAAAAATTAAAATGTTTCTTGGAAGAAGCATCAAATTTAAAGTAAAATTGGAGTTGCATTATAAATCTGATTTTCACATTCTTTTATTTTTTGAGAAAACTTATTTCCAAAAATATGATTTGATACAGAAATGCACAATGTATGAAGTTTGCAGTTATTCAGCACAAAAAAAGGTAGGAATTCTTCTGCACCAGTAACTAAGGCATTAAAAATGATTCTTTATTACAACATCTGATAAGAATATCTGATCAAATAGCAAAAAAGATATTATCACAGAATAATCAATTCACAGGACTGGAAGGAAACTTGAGAGGTCATGAAGTCTGGTCCCCTGCACTCATGACAGGATCAAGTACCATTTAGAGATCAACGATATTTAATGAAAACATAAAAACCTGTTCTTTTGATAACAGAGTCAGACATATAATTGCGTTCAAGTGGTACCACTGAGAAAAACTACAAAAAGCTACAATTTTAACTTCAGATGCTGCAAACATTTATGCGTGTGCTTAACTTTGGGTATATGAAGTAGTTCCAGTTAAATCATGGGACTATTCAGCTGAGCTAAGTTAAATACCTGCTTAAGCTTGCATGATGAAGGTCTTAATTTTCCATATATTTTGTAAAATTCAAGTAAGATATCTTCTTAGTAGTATTTTTTAAAACAGTAATAATAACTTAATTCATTATAAAGTATAATCTGAAGTTGCAATATCATTATTTTTCAAAGTAGTTTTACAAGCCCTCAACCTGAATTAATTATTTTAAAAAAATCAAATGGTTTAAGTAGGGTACTTAAAACATGACACCCAAAAAATTAAAATGTTTCTTGGAAGAAGCATCAAATTTAAAGTAAAATTGGAGTTGCATTATAAATCTGATTTTCACATTCTTTTATTTTTTGAGAAAACTTATTTCCAAAAATATGATTTGATACAGAAATGCACAATGTATGAAGTTTGCAGTTATTCAGCACAAAAAAAGGTAGGAATTCTTCTGCACCAGTAACTAAGGCATTAAAAATGATTCTTTATTACAACATCTGATAAGAATATCTGATCAAATAGCAAAAAAGATATTATCACAGAATAATCAATTCACAGGACTGGAAGGAAACTTGAGAGGTCATGAAGTCTGGTCCCCTGCACTCATGACAGGATCAAGTACCATTTAGAGATCAACATGTCTAACCTGCTTTTAAATATCTCCAGCCATGTACATTTCACAACTCCCTTAGGCAATTTATGTCCATGGTTATGAAGTGTACCACAAGGATTTTAAAGAAAACAAAAAAGTTAGGAACCCATAGGAACTCACCACTTGCCGGTTTCTATTTAGGTTTTAGAGCAGTATTTCTCAAAGTGTTCCACTTCATTTGCACTGATGTGCACTGCTTCATTTACTTAAAGAGTGTTTAGCCAGCCAAAGACAATGGGACAGCTACCTTCCAATTGTTTTGCAGATTCCACTTTGGATGGGAACCTGTAGTTCTCGCTCTCAATTTCTATGGAAAATTGCCTGGTCAGATCCTACCAGTTGGGATGGTCACATGTCTTCCTCAGACCAACCACTGCTTAGACTTAAAGGACATGGAGGCTGTTTACAGGTGATTACCCAGACATTGAGGTATCCTGGCAGTGGAAACACTCTTAACTGCTTCATTTGTACATTTAAAACCATAAACCATTTCCTGTCCCTTATTTCTAACTTTACATTCAAGAATGATACTAACACCAAAATAAGATATATAGCTCCAGCAGATGGTGACATTAAGCTGTCCCTTATTTCTAACTTTACATTCAAGAATGATACTAACACCAAAATAAGATATATAGCTCCAGCAGATGGTGACATTAAGATTGATAAGTTACATGAGGTATTTTGTCCAAATCTTCTTATGCATATTGTATCCATAAATCAATTTCATCAAGCATGGAGATGGAGGGCGGGGGAGGTGAAACCATCACAATACAAGGCAGTAAAACTGTCAAATTCCAATGCTCCTATTTACTCTGATGTCAATCTTGAGTTAGCATTGCCAATTTTAAAAAACTACATTTACTATGGATTACATTCCTTGCTAGATAGTTTCCCATGCCTTTTACACGACAACAGATCTGCCAAGTTCCAAGGGTCACATTTCATCTAAAGTCAACTCCAACATTCACTGCAGTCACATTCTCTATTATTGCTATTTTAAAACTACAGGTTGAACCTCTCTATTCCAGCACCGTCGGGACCTGACCAGTGCCTAACTAGCGATGTTAAATTGTGTTTAGTCAGCTAATCAAGTAGTCAATGGAATTTCCATCGACTACTCGATTTGTTGATAAGAGGGGAACTGCAGAACCTCAATGGGGTTAGCTTCTGACCCCGAGAGCAAACCCTGTTGCTGCTCTACCTTTAAAATGGAGTAAAAGCAGAGGCGTAGCATCTGGGACCGGTGCAATCTTGGGAGGTCAATAATGTTTAGCAGCATTACCATCACTTCCACTGCTTACTGGGCTATTAGAAGGCATTTAGGGATTAATTAGGCCTCAATAATAGCACAGAACAATGAGAGCTAAGGCCGGTGACTATAAACAAACTTTATGGGACCAAAGGAAACTTGGCCATACCTGTGATAAGTTTAAAAAACAATGGAATTTAGTTAATCTTAAAAGCTAAAATACTTACCAACAAAATTTCAATGGTACCAAGAATATACATGGCTCCTGCAAAAGTTGTACCCAAGTAAAAACAGAGTCCCACTGCTCCACCAAATTCTGGCCCTAAAGATCTTGAAATCATATAGTAAGAACCACCAGCTGTGAAATAAAAAAGTAAAATTAAAATTAGGTCAGAATCTGAGAGATGCACATCACATCCTAGACAATGCATTTGCGTTGCCAGGTCAACTTTGGTCCCAAATTTAAACAAATTATTTTGTAAAAATCTGTGTATTACAGTTTTAATCCAGCTAGCATGGGTAACAATAGCAATGTAGACTTCAGTGGAGGTAGTTCAAGTCTGGCACAGACCCAGGATATGAAATTAGCTCACTAGCCTACTCTTTGCTATCTTCGCTATTGTTGTTACCAATACTAGCTAGATTCAAGGTAGCTTAAGTAGGCCTCCAAAATGTAGCTTTTTTGCTGATCAATCCTTCTTTCCATTCCCCAGAGACACACTGCTTCCAATAAACTTTTTGATATAAATATTCACCCAGTTGGGTCTGGAGCCTCGCTCTACATTTTTTTTCTCCCTGTCTTGGAATGTAAAATTCAGATAGTTTTGTACTCTTGATTGAAAGAGTTTCTAACCCTCCTCCACATTTAAGACCTTGAGCTCTTCGATCCAACTGATTTCAACCAATTTCTTTCATTTTTCTTTTGAAATCACAAATCAGACAAACCTATTTCCATTATCCTTACATTTAATTTAAACTAAATCAGCTCAAGAACTTTGACCCAACTTTATTTCCCACAACCAGCTCTGCTGGGATGTTCTCACTATTTACCCAAAACAAGCTGAAAATTTAGAGCTGTCAAGATATTAATCACAGTTAATTGCACTGGTAAACAACAACAAAATACCATTTATTTAAATATTTTGGATGTTTTCTGCATTTTTAAATATATTGATTTCAAATACAGCAAAGAACACAAACTGTATAGTGCTCACTTTATATTTATTTTTATAACAAATATTTGCACTGCAAAAAGAAACAAAAAACCCTAGTATTTCAATTCACCTAATACAAGTACTGTTGTGAAATCTCTTTAACTAATATATTCTTTGTTAAAAGATGTTTTGATGTTGCTATTTCTCAGCTTTTGATTCAACATATGCTTATTTCTCAAAGTGGAGTACTTTTTCCAATAAGTTTGTGATCCCATTTAATCACTGAACACTGACTGATACAGTGTTAAGGACTTTCCCTTTGAGCAAAGGAACAACTTTGATAAAATCTATATTTTTTCCTCTTCATTCCAAACACTGTTCATCCTCCTGAATATTCATTCAATTGGGCTGTTTGTTCTATATAAACACATACTAAATTCTACTTGGCATAGCAAGAGATGTTGAAGAAACATTAAAAAACTTAACATTTTGATTGATTAAATGAACAAATAGGACATTTCAGGAGTTCTGAAAGAAGTACAGTAAAACTCCGATAGTCCGGCATCCAATTGTTCAGCACTCCCGTTACTCCGGCATCAAAATGTCAAGTGCTCCTGTCCAGCTAATTTAAAAGCCTGCTGCTCAGCACGTGCTGGCTATACTGGGACCATGCACAAGGTTGGGGGGAAAGTAGTATGGAGAAGAGCATTTTGCTTCAGTGAAAAGGAAGGAGAGGGGAGGGGGAAGAGAATCAGGTTACAGCACGGAGGAGAAGCGAAGAAGAAAGGGAAGAGGAGAGGGAGGGAGATTGTGTCCTAGCCAGCTGTTAAGCCGTGCAGCTGTACCATAACCTCCCGATACACCGGCATATCTGATAAGACGGCACCACCTAGGTCTCAAAGGTGCCGGATTATCAGAAGTCTACTGTATCTAGGGGCACCACCTAGGTCCCAAAGGTGCCTGATTATCAGAAGTCTACTGTATCTAGAATAATAGGGGGCATCATATGATAAAAAAGGATATAGGGTCACTTTTTGCATAAAGATTTCATTTATTTTTTCTATTGAAATTTTATGTTTTGTGCAGTAGTACTCTATATATATTACATTATTATACAGACTCATACTTTTTAATAAGAGACTATTATGATAATCTAGTCTGACTACATGCATGTTACTAGTCATCCAGTTTCACCCAGTAATTCCTGTATCAAGCCCATAACATAGCTCTGGTTGAGCTAGAACATATCTTTTAGAAAGGAACCAATCCTGATTTAGCAGTTTCAAGAAATGGAGAATGTGTCACATCAATATGTAAGTTGTTCCAATGGTTATGGTGTCCCAAATTCCAAAAAAATTGAAAATTGGAAAGAATTCAGAAAATATATTAAAGATTTCTGGTGTGGAAAACGTGCCTTAAACAGAACTTCTCAATCTATTTAGTTGTCAAGTCTCAGAGGGGTAGTTGTGTTAGTCTGTAACTTTATAAACAACAAGTAGTCCTGTGGCACCTTAGAGACTAACAAAAATATATATAGTATCATGAGCTTTCGTGGGCAAACTCCACTGATATATATATTAGCTCTAAGGTGCCACAGAACTATTTGGTTGTTTTTTTTTTTAATTTTATCCAAGTGAAGGCTCAGAAGTGACTTGATCACCATCTACATGAGGAAGAGGTTTCTTAATTTTAGATTGCTCATAATCTAGCAGAAAAAGGCATAACAACAATACAGCAGTTGGATGCTGGACAATTTTGGACTAGAAATAAGGCATTAATTTTTATGCCATGCGGGCAATTAATCATTGGAACAATTCACCTAGGAATATGTTGGATTTGCTCTCTACCTTTAAAAGTGCATTTATAACAACTTTAGGTTTAAAATTCAGGTTAAAAATTGTAATTACCTGGAACTACACCGTTTGTTGCTATTGCACTCATTGAAATTGCAGTTAGCATAGTCTGTGGAAAAACCATTATTGACAATGTTTAATGTAACATAATAAAGTTCTTTAAAAACTACCAACGATGGACAAGCCCAGTGGTCTGGTGCAGATAAACTGGAATTTGGAGAATATCTTCACAGCTTTGTGATGACAGGAGCTCAAGAATACATGCATTTTTTCCCCCTAACTGATTCTGATGTCAGTTGAGCATTGACCCTTACACTAAATAGCTGTTTAGTACTTAAAGAAGTATGGGTCAGTTCAAAGCAGAACCTTTGAATATATAACTGAGAAGAAAGGGAAACCTTGAGGAATTTCAATATTAACCAGAAAACAACCCAAATAAAATATTGTTCTAATTAAATAGTAATTAGTAACAAATGACCAAGCCTCATCATTATCATCGTGTGTTTTACTTCTAGCTCCACATTCCACAACAATTACATTTGGGCAAGAAACGGTTTTCCTATCCAATGAACACTTTTTAAATTTCGAACTACTTTTCCATTCTGCACTGGCACAAAATTAAAACCTTTTCAAAAATCCTCAAAAAAGAGTTTTCAAAAGACTCAGAGATACCCCATCCTAGCCTACACTACTTATTCTAGTGCCTTTGCCTTCCAGATCCCATGTGAGTGCCATAATGTCCCATCTTTAACACCAAACTGGAGAAATTCCAAGACATCCATTCCAGAAAAATCTATAGCTTTGCAATTATGTAGCTAGTCACAAGGGATGTGAAAATTTTAAGTTTAAGTTGCTGCTTTCAATCAGGGAGAGTAAGGACTTGAATCAGCATCTTCCCAGGTGAGTGGCCTCACCACTGAGATACTGACTATTCTGGATTAAACTGTGTGTTTTAGTCTTTTTTACCAGAAAGTCCATCCTGAGAATCTAAGAAACATTTCCCAATGAAAGCTGTCTTTAATCTGCTACCTTTTCACAAAAATTTGTCTCAGTGAATTACATTTTCTGGCCATCCTGTCAGAAAATTCCTGAGCAGTTCTAATACGCAAAGGGACAGCTGTGTGTCCTATCAATCAAGGCAGAGAAATAGCGTGGGAGGACTCACTTTGTTGCACCACAGCATGCACACCAACTGCCAGATAGTGCTTGCAGCTACATTTCAAGATACAAACTGCTTACAGACGATAAGTAAAGGAACATGCTAAAAGATGCAGAAGGTAGGCTAGTATTTTAACCCAGTGTAACTCCCATCTGTGCTACTCTTTGAGCTCTGTAAAAAGTTTCTGCCTGCTACTTGTCCCAAGGATGAGAGCGGGGAATAGGTGTGGCAGTAGCATAGAATCGGATTTAATCAGTGGTAAATGCATAAGAAAGTAAATTTTACTTACACAAGCACAGCACATGAACACAATGATGAAAGATTCAAGAATTCCAGATGTTCCAACAATCCACGTCAAACGTAGGAAAAGGATTACTCCCAAAATATTTTGCAAGCAGGGAAGATACACACCAATAAAAGTGCCCATTCGTGGAGCCTAAAACAAACAAACTATAAATTCCACATAGACTATTCCTTTTCAAACAAAAGGCCAGATATCTCACTACAATCTAGCAAACTCACAATGACTTGTAACCTAAGGCTTTTTTAGTAAGGAGTAAGCAAAACCAGAGGTGAAGTTCCCAGGATTTCTAGTTTTATAGATAATCGGTAATACCACGGTTTAATAAAAATAGAAAACAGTTTATGCACTAAGATAGTCTCTATTAAGAATTAAGAGGAGACCTTAATATAAGTCTCATATTTTTTACACCTCCCTCCCACAAGGTTTCTTGTACTTTTCTCTGAAGGATCAATGTTGGTCACTGTTTGAGACAGGATGCCGGACCACAGAATTGATCCAATATGCCACATCTATCTATATATTTTAGTAATGTCTGTCTGTCCATCTGCAAGTCTGCTTGTTCAAGAATTCCTCTTAAACAGTAAGAACTAGGACCAACAAATATGATATGCAGCTTCCTCTTATCCTAACATAAAGCAATGCTAGGGTTTGGTTGTGCCAAGAAAATGGTATATACTGGGAATGGGACCCTTTTCCATTCCATGGAAAGAGAGTCAGAGAGAGGAGGGATATGAAAGGGAGGGACACAGCGAGGAAAGATACAATTATGGGAGTGGTCACTGGGAGCAGCGAGCCTGCAAGGGAGAGCTATATGCAGAGTGGCCACTGGGGGCAGCCATACCACCAATATAGTGGCCAGCAGGGCTGCGGCTCCACCATTTTACCTGCCACCAGATTGGGTAAGTAGCCTCCCTGCCTCAAAACATTCCCTCCTCCCCATCCTTTGACAGCAATGCCAGAAGTAGGTGGGGGAGGGGCCCATGATGGCTGGGTGGAGTTGGGAGGATACAGAAGGCTCCTGGAAGCTGGGGGGATGTTTTCTTCAGTTCCATAAGGGCTAAAACAACCGGGTATTTGTTATTTCTTTGTTTTTGTGGCTTTTGTTTTCTTCAGTTCCATAAGGGCTAAAACAACCCGGTATTTGTTATTTCTTTGTTTAAAAATGAAATGAAAGCTTCATTTCCATAGAAAATGATGGTGTCCAGTCTGACTCCTCAATTAGGCTGCCATTTTTGTGTTTGGTCTGATAGATTAGATTGCCAAACATGAAACAGAGAAATAACTTCACTTGATATAAATAAGCCAGTGAGCCTTTACTTCTACTTTGAACACGGACATTTCCTCTGATTAAAGAACATAAATCAAATAAAACCTGAGGAAGTACGAGTGTCTGTTAAAATCTAATTCTAATTCCTTTTAACTCAACACACAGATTAGAACGGAGTGTAGCAAGAGAACCAAGACAACTGAGAATGAGAGAAGAGATCACTTGAAACAACAAAGAAGGGGGGAGAAACATAATTATAGACCCCATATTCATAACCCAAAAGTAAAAAAATCATAAAGCATATTATTTTAAAAAATACTTTGAATTGTTTGTATTTGCCTTCTTATTTTGAGCTTTTAGAAGTAATGGCAAGTGTTGGGAACACTGGATCCCAGGACAAGATACCAGGGCATGAGGAAAAGGGCAGGCAAAGAAGTCAGAAGGGGCAAGATCAAAAGACTCAAAACATGTTTTCATTAAGTTTTTTAGATGAGATATTTCGGACATTTCCTCTGATTAAAGAACATAAATCAAATAAAACCTGAGGAAGTACGAGTGTCTGTTAAAATCTAATTCTAATTCCTTTTAACTCAACACACAGATTAGAACGGAGTGTAGCAAGAGAACCAAGACAACTGAGAATGAGAGAAGAGATCACTTGAAACAACAAAGAAGGGGGGAGAAACATAATTATAGACCCCATATTCATAACCCAAAAGTAAAAAAATCATAAAGCATATTATTTTAAAAAATACTTTGAATTGTTTGTATTTGCCTTCTTATTTTGAGCTTTTAGAAGTAATGGCAAGTGTTGGGAACACTGGATCCCAGGACAAGATACCAGGGCATGAGGAAAAGGGCAGGCAAAGAAGTCAGAAGGGGCATTCCCTCCCACCCCACTCCAGACCCCTCATAGCCCCCCCTTTTGATAGTCCGGCATATCTGATAATCCAGCACCCCCTGGGTCCTAAAGGTGCCGGATTATCGGAAGTTTACTGTACAAAGATTTTGTTTTATTCTTCTTTTACGTAACCTTTGTATAAACATTGCTTACAATGCTGCTACTCTCCTCAGTTTAGAATACATAAATGGATCTCTCTTTGGACATGTCTATACTAACATGCTTACAGCTGCACAGCCATACCAATGCAGCTTTGCCACCATAAGATCACTCGTGTAGCCACTGAGGATGTTTAAAAGGGGGTAATTGGATAACTGTGTAACTGCTGAAAACTGTGTAACCATTGTGAGGTGTCAGCGGAGTCTCTGGGAGCCGATGCATGATGGAAGCCAGCTTGTTAGTGGGCTCCCAGCACATATCGGCTCCTGTCCCATTCCCAGAGAGCCGTCTGCTATCCCACGCTAGAGATCTGATACAAAAGCCAGCAGCGTGGGGTGGCAGCAAGCGCAGTCAGAATTGGGTAAAAGGAAATAAAAGATAAAACATATATGAATACCTTATTTAGCGAGCTAAGTAAATGTAAAACATACACAGTATAAAACATATATGAATACCTTATTTAGCGAGCTAAGTAAATGTAAAACATACCAAGTGTTAGGTCACTATAGTTATGTCTCTCGGGATGTAGATTTTTCACGTTAGGTCAGTATAGCTATGTCTCTCAGGATGTAGATTTTTCATACTCCTAAGAGATTTAGCTATGGCCATTAAATTTCTAGTATAGAGCAGGCCTACATTGCATTGGGGTGAAATTTTTCACAACTCCGAGTGATGTCGTTAAGTTGACCTAACTTTGTAGTGCAGATCAGCCCTAAGAGGATTAACTGTTCAGGATAAGAACCATGTCTACCTTGTGTTTACACAATGCCTAGCACAGTAATGAAAATACTACACAATAATTATAATTTTCAAAGTCTGGGTACCTTGATTTCTTTTCGCTTGCTGTCTTCATCTGCTTCATGTTCTACCACTCCCTGAGTTAGATTTGTATAATTTGCTAGCTTATTAAGAAGAGATGATACCATGGGGTTGCTATCCATTTCTTCCTGTTGGGATTTTGAAAAATATTAATATACAGCAATATTTAACTAGTAAATAAAAACAATTTAAAACATTAGCCATTTCATATAAGTTTTTCAAAGCTTCACATTCCAAATCCTGATTAATTGTAATACAGTACCTGTTGCTGGAAAATCTAGTCGATTTTTAGCAAAAATTCTGAAGCTTCTTTGAGTGTACAGTGTGTACAATTCCACAAAATAAAATTGTGACACTTTATTTTCTAATTCAGACTATTATATACTAAATGATCAAGGAAATGGACAATTACATTTTGTTCAATTAATAAAAGATTTAATTCCTATTTGGAGATGTGTCTTCATAGATCAGTCTGCAATGGACTAATAGGTAACAGTTCACTGAATAAACATTCTGGTTCCAAATTCCTCCCTCTAATATACATAACTCTGCTTTAATATTATTTTGTAAGTGAAGTTTTCTTATGCACAATAGGGTTTTCTTCTTACTGTTCCTTTCTGGGAGAAGGGAAGCCCTGTATTCAATAATTAAAAACACAGCAAACTTCAGATCTGAGAACTTCAGATTTGAGAACTCTTCAGAGTTGAGAAGATGTTTGAGTCATTGTTTTCTACTACAAAAATCATAGCTGTACATAGCTAAATGTATACAGCTTACAGATCACGTAGGCAATTTTATGTGATTTTAACAATTCTTGTGTTAACAAATTGTTTTGCCCTCATGTCTTTAACATTCAGTGTATGACTGCACACTGGCCCCGTTCAGTGATAATCATGAACGGTCCTAAAAAAGAATGTAATTGATGCCTTTCCTCTCTGTGATCTTTTCTGAGTCTACAGCACATGCCCAGAGTCTCTTCTGTCTCAGGGACAGCCATCCTCTGGATAGATGTAAAGAAATAATCACTCCTTTTCCCCACCCTTGGAAACAGAAGCGGCTCTATAGGACAGTGTCTGGGAAACTGCTAGAGGTCTCCAACCAGGGCTCTGTGCAGAGCCTACAATGGACATCTTCAGCATAGAAACCTTGAGTTTCCAGGTTTGCAAAGCAGACTTCAGTACCACCACGCCCATCTATAAATAGGTGAAAATCAAAAAGCCTCTGGGTCAGACATCAGATAAGCAAAAGGTCTCTTGAATCAATGAAGCTACTATAGCACCAAAGAATACTAAGACTCTGTCTTCTGCTCAGATTCTGTCTCCTGCTCCACATTTGTGCCAGATGCTGACTAAGGCATTTCAGTCTGTGCACCTTTCAACCCATTAGGCCAGATAAGATACTGTATGTATGATACCTATGCTTTCCAATTCACATCAATCCTTCACTTCTAGGCATGAGCCACAAGGAGCCTCCTATGAATTCAACGTGATATTGCATTCCCTTGCCAACCACACAGGTTCATAGTGTTCTCTGTTCACTCTATATAGGGGGAGTTGTTGGATCCCAAAACTTTAATCAAGTGCGCTTCCTTCATCAGTGCTTCTAGGTAGGGTTGCCAGATAGTTTCACAAAAAATACCAAACATGTTGGGGAAAACAAAAATACAGGGACCAAAGTTGTTGCGCCTTTAAATCCCGGGCCAATACCGGACACTTGGCACCTACTTCTAGGTGTGAGTTACCAAATAATCTATTTCAGACTGATAGTGTATGACAAACCATATTGTTGTAGGGTGTGAGGTGTTGTTTTATGTTACAGCTATAAAATAATATAGATTATAGCAAGGCAAATACTGCAAAATTGCTAAATACTTTATGGAGAAAATCCTTCTTCATTAAGTTACTGCATATGCTAATATCATTATAAATATACAGTTGAATTAATAGAAAATGAATCCAAGTATTTTTTCTCACTTCCTTTAAAGTGCTTACTATAAAATAACACATGGCCTGCTCAGTACAGTTTTACATTAGGAAGTAGAAACATCTGCACTATGAAATACATTACAAGTATGTGACCTAACATTACAGCTGAGCTATATCTGATCAATAACCTTTCTGTTTCATAATTTTCTTGTCTTAGAAGAAGTCTAGCTATCTTTGCTGTCCTATATATTTAGCCATTAATGTACTGTGGTACTCATAAGGGGTTTGATTCTGTTCCACTGAAGTCAATAAAAGTGCCTAATTTTCAGCAAATGCAGCTCTAGCTTTCTAAAAATAACCTGAAAGTGCTCTGTAATTTAATACACAAAGTAACTTCTTATAAAAATTCTGAAAGTTACCTCAAAGAGAGCCATATTTTTCCCTTCATAGATGTTTTCTCTGTCCATCTCAGCACTGTTAATAAATGGGCTACTTTCCTTTGGGATCCCATCTCCTGGTGGAAATTAGAAATGGTTAGAAAAAAAAGAAGAAGCAATGCTTATCCTCAGAAAAGTTCTTGAAACTTGGAACCCTCAGAAAAGTTCTTAAAACATTAGCTAATTTTGCACTTATTAAGCCTCTGTATTGGCATAACTTATACCAAGTATAATCAGACCAGTTACTTAGCTGGCCTTTGAAGCCAGGTAAAAAATGTGGAAAAAATTGCTAAAATATAAATTAAAGCAAAACATTGTTCGATGACACTTAAGGTTAAGTTTGTATCTGTACTCAGCTTACCCAACCATACATTAACCGTATAGAAATGCAAATGGAACAAGAAAAAACTCCACTTGCACTTTTATACAAAACTTATTGGTGCCTTCATACTCTCTTGTTTACTCAGTTTGAGAGTTAATCTACATTAACATTGCTGAAGTCATAATTAAGGTTTTTCATGAGAGCATTAGTTGGATGAAGCTCAGGTATATATTGCTTTTCAGTGACTTGTCAGAAAAGAAATCATATGCTTTAGGGACAGTTGGCACTGCAGTAAAGTGTTATTAAGCTTCTTTTGTTTTGTTTCAAACTCCCTTGCCTGATAATAATACTCAAGATAGGTACATGACCCAGCACAAATGCAAGAATGTTCTGTAAATTATTTCTATATGTAAAAAGTAGATCTATTCTGAACCAACATTTATGACTATCAGATCACAAAATATAGTATCTTTCATTTTCATGTAATTCTTCTCTGTAATCTAGTAACAACACAATATTTTCAAAGCCATGAGTCATTTTTCCTTTGTTTTCATCCTGCATTGTAATCCTTTTCTACCAAGCATTCGACAGGGGACCTAATTAAAGTCTCCAACCATGTAGATTAATGTCGTCAGTTTTCAGGGACTTTTAAGTAACATGTCTTCCTCTTTTTTTTAAAAAAAAAGAGTAATTGACATTTTAAAAATATATGTAATAACTTGTACTACAAATATTTCTATTTTAATTGCTTGTAAATTGTTTAATTGTATTCCTACATATAAAACTATATTACACTATGGGCTCAAGTTAAATCTCCAAGTTTTAATGAACAGATAAGTTGTACTTTCAGTTCTTATTAGATTAAAAATCAATAATACTTTACTACCTTGACTGCTGCTCATAACTCATGAATAATAGAAGTGGTCCCAAAGGATTAATACACACTTGTAATTTCCTTTGAAAGATGGCAATGTGCTTAAAAAATTTACTGTAGCAGTTAAAATTTTCTAAAATTAAGTTTTTTTACTAGATCTTCTTTCTGTTGTAGAAAAGACCATAATCGTCTGTGTTAAAAAAAAAAATCAAGTAAAAATTATCAACAGATTTTTTTCAATTAAAAAATAATTTTTCCATTAAAAAAAAATCTTTTTTTTTTTGTTTGAGGGAGAAAAACTGAACACATGAGTGCACACATCTTGGGTTATAGCTTACAAATTAAGTGAGTTGCCAGTTCTCAGCCTTCAATATTAGAAAAACACTGTGATTTGTGCAGATTAGATGAGTTATCTTTATCTTTTAACAGGACACTGAGATACATATAGAATGATTTGTCAGTACAAATGTAAAAGCTGTAAAAGGAAAAAAATGAACATGCTTCTTTTCCAATGCCTCGTTGCTTAATTACTATTTCAAATGTTAAGGTAACTTGCAAAAGAAGCATCATCCCAGTACTGAATATAACTTATATTATAATGTATTTAAGATTAAAAGTATGTATCAGTATTTAAGGCAAAAAATTCTTTTAGTTTTATAGGAACAACATCTCTATAATGTATTTTACCCTAAATTACTTATACGTACTCTCAAATATAATTCCATTAATGTAACTTTGGGAATTCCCTGGGCTTTTTAATTATTAAAAAGTTCATGTATGAATAGTAAACAAGAAATTTAAAAGGGAATGCTTCACTATGAGATTTCTAATTATATCAAGATCTATAAAAACCACCTTTAATAACTTTTCACAATTTATCTTTTAGGCTTTGTCATTCAAGTGTAGACTCTAACTGCAGTTGATGGTAATTTGTTGCTGTTATTCTTCATAATCAAACATTGAGGATCACGAGAATGGAGGCAGTGGCCATCTTCACCAACGGCAGGCAATGACCTCTGTCTCACTGAGAACAATGGAAAATACTGGCTATTTTGAGAAGGGCATCCTGTCTAAATGCAGATTGTGACCTCAGTCTCATGCAGATGACCACTATTTTTAAATAGGGCAGTCTTTCATGAATTCTCCGAAGAGAACATTGTTCTTCAATCTCTGCTGAAAGAAGATTTTTCATTTATGAAGAATAATTTGAAAACTGACCATTAGTGCTAAAAATATCTTTTTAGAAACACATTTGTGAGATCAGATCTGCTCAAGACTTGCATTCGGACAACTTTTGTCTAGAAAGACAACTGCGCTGACACTCCTCCCTCACCCAAAACAAACACAGCTAACAAGAATAAAATGTCAGATGAAAAAGAGAAGTATATTTCTTTTGAGCCATTTTTAATTAATATTAATTTCTAAACCAATGTATTTACCAGTAAATACTCTGAAAAATCAATCAGTGCTGTAATTTTGAAGAGTTACTCTTGTGGGAATTCTCTGTCACTGAACACATGCAGAATTCATGTGTCCTGAAGATTTTCTTCTCCACAAAAGAGACAATCTATCCAAGAAGTTCTGCAGTTCTGCTTTCATCTACCGAAGGCCACTGTGGGTGCATCTACACTGCATCCAGAGTTCAAAATAAGTTACGTAATTTGAGCTACACACATTGCATAGCTTGTTTTGAGTTAATTCCAAAATATCTTATTTCAAAATTTGGCACTGTCTACACAGCACTTATTTCAAAATAAATCGCTATTCTGAAACGTCCCTTACTCCTCGTAGAATGAGATTCACAGGGATGTTGGAATAGCGACTCCATTATATTTTGAAATAATAGGCATGCTCAAAAGACACAGAATAGCTATTTCCGGATACTGGAATTATCCCGAAATAGAATTGCAGTGTAGACCTAGCCTGACACACCAGAAAAGCCAACAGCATAAACTCAGTCTGTTGTTCTGGCGCCACTGCTGCCTCTAGTAGGCAAAATATGGAACTGTAGTACTTCATGAGTAGAATGTATTTTCTGGGGGAAAGGATACTCTGTGCATGCACTGTGGTGCAAATTTCCCCTGGAGTAGAAGTTCATCACAACACCTGCCCGCAGAATCAGAATAGGACAGACAGAATGGGTCACATAGGGATGCTTGGGGGGTGTCACAGAGCATGTAACAGCATTAAACCAAGCACTGGGTAGGAGTGGGAGTCTAAAGCCACATGGAGATAGGAGGGGGGGTCTTCAGGGACACACGGGAATGGAGAAGGAGGCTGCAGAGACACATGGGATGGCAGTGTGGGGACGAAGGAGTTATACCTGACTGAATGGGAGAATCTTGGGCTCAGCCAGGGTCTGCACAGAGAAGCACCCCCAACTCCTTAACGATTCTGCCTCTTCTCCCCAAAAAACATTGTTCTATACTTCTCCCACCCTCCTGGTTCACTCCAGGTTCCTTTCCTCTCACTCATCTCCTCTGTCTCCCCTCATTCCCCCTAATACTGCTTATGATAGGAGCAAGAAATACAGTTCTGTATTGCAAATTAAATGAACTACTCTCAGTTTTGTGTTAATATACCTAGTAAGTAATCTATTTTTTTTAAATTACCAGAATATTTTTGCCTGCATTGTTACAAACATACTTGCTATCTTGATAGTTTTAAAATACATTACCAAAATAATTGAAACTGGCTTGATTATACTGTGTCGTTCTGACAACTAAAATTTGCAGAATTTTAAAATACTGTACACAAAAATTTCAATATTTTGCACAAAATTATCTTAATGTACAGAAACCACAAGTTCAGATGGAAAACTAAGAGACATTTGGCTCACATATGTGGGTAGTGGCTCAACAACAAGAAAAATCACTTTACAAAGAGTTTTCTACTCTACGAAGAGTTTTTCATTCACCCAAAAAAGCCACAGAACTTTTCTGGAGATTCAAGAATCAGAAAAAAACCCAGAACATTCTGCCATGGACAGACAGACAACAAGACAGTACACTGCCTTCCCGGAGTCAAGACACCACATATCACTTGAAGACTGGATAGGCATCTGAAGATGATGGGCAAGGATCCATTACTGATGGTTCATATTGGCACTAATGACATGGCATCGTGGGGTATCTCACAGACAATAGATGACAAGAGAGAAGTTGGAAATGTGCTGAAGAAGCAGACTACCCAAGCAATCTTCTCTGAAATCCTTCCAGTTCCATGAACAAGGGAAGACAGAAGACAGAAGTTTCTGGAAGTGAGATCTGGCTAGGTAAGTAATGTCAGGTGGCGTACATTAGTTCTGTGCTCCTACTTTATGGAAAATGGGGACTTAATAATTTAGAAGGCCTCCACCTCAGTAGAAAAGAGGCCAATCTCCTTGGGGCCAGGCTGGCTAAAAAAAGTCAGGAGTTTGTTAAACTAATAGCAAAAGGGACATATAAAAAGAGATTGAGTGCTTCGAACAATATTGAGATTATGAGAATAAACAGTGTATGAACCTAAAGCCTTGACAGAAGAAATTCTTTAATTGCCTACATATCAATGCCAGATGTATCTAACAAACACGAGGAATTGGTCATTTAGTAGAATAAATTCAACCTAATTAGTATTACTGAAACTGGGCAGGATGAGTCACACGGAATGTTAAAATCAATGGTTATAACCTATTTAGGAAGGATTGAGAAGACATAAGAGAAGGGGAAGGGACAGTGGCACACTACAGTAAACTTCCGATAATCCGGCACCTTTAGGACCCAGAGGTGCCGGATTATCAGATATGCCGGACTATCAGAAGGGGGGGCTATGAGGGGTCTGGAGTGGGGTGGGAGGGGATGCTACCCCAGACCCTTCATAGTCCCCCCTTACGATAGTCCGGC